ACCGTATAATAAAATGTTCCAATCAAATGACTAAAACCGAAAGTGTGCTTTCAAGTATTGAAACTTTGAGAAATTACTTCGCAACACGTACATCAAAATACTGATAATTTTGAGGAGCTAATTATATGCTAACCACCAAAGCAAGTGGTCTTGACCAAATTCATAAACAAAATTATGCAAACTGTTGGATTAAACTATACAGTATTGTGGTGCACTGAATGCGAATTTTTTTCTAGATAAAACAGTGTTAGTATAATAATTACTTCAAAACGTCCTTTAATTTGTACAACAACTCATTCTGATATATTCTTTTCATCTCAAAAATATAAATTATTTTAGGTTTGAGAAAATATTTAAAAAATATAAGTTGTTTTAAGATTTCGGTGCAAAGTAATTACTAACTTTTTTTTAAAAAAAAAAAGCTGATACATGTCGTTTCAACTACTAGCAAATTGGTTGTCCTTGCATGCAATAGAACGTAGTAAAAGTTTGTACGTAGGAATAAGGTTGTAAGTTGTAACCCATTTGAAATTAGATTTGAGATTTGAGGTTTGACAGGAGTCGAATAGAGACAGATAATATAGTGGTGTTAGTACCACTGCTGAATCATGAATGTGGAGTCCTTGTCGTGATCCCTGTAGTTCAGGCTTCAACGTGTGTACGTAGATTCTTCTAGCATCTATGTTACACTTTTCGTCTTGCAAGGTTCTATCTTTCACGTGCGCTTTCTGAAGAAATCCCACCACTTCATATTGTCTTTTCTTAATCATCACCATATTTCTATAAACCAATTGCAAACCATTACGGGAAAAAAAAAAAGCGCGCAATTACAAGAGAAATAACTTAACACTTTTTTAAGTAGTCACATTAGCAATTATAGTGTTCCGTCCACTCTAAAACGCTATATCCGTCTTCAAAATATCCATCGGTCTAGGGTAAAAGAACTAGTAAAAAAACAAGTAGTTATTATTCTTGAGAAAGGAAATTTCATTATGATTGTTAAAAATCAACCAGGTGTGGTTAACAAAAAAGAATGATTCAGATCAGACCGCATAACGAGATCAGAAAATGTGAAAATTTTTCTTTCGAAGATATTTTTGAAAAACTTGACCAAAGATTACATTGGAATAAAAAAAATAATACTTATTTTAAAATTTCTCTACTAAAACAACACTTTGTTTCATAATGACAGGAGCATTTTACATTTTTGTCATTTCTTTCCTTCGCATTATTATTGGTTTGGATGTCTCATTAAACTACGTCCTATCGTCGTTTTCATAATCCTACAGTACTACAATATGATAATGAACCACCCCCTCTCCTTCACCCCTCAGAAATCACAACCAAAAAAAAAAAACAAAACAAAAACAAAAACAAAATCAAAAAGAGAGAAAGATAATGAACCAACTTGAATGCAGGGTTCATATATAGCCGCAATTTTGTCATTACACGAACTAGCTTTTAAACTTTCGCCATGGAGTTCAAAATGGAAAACGGGAACTGCCCTTAGGAACAATCAAAGGGACGTATATAAAACCCTTACAGCTGTGGTACAATCATCACAACCCCAATCCCCATTCCTATGACTAACATTATCAGCCAAAGATATTGATTTTGGGATAGGATTAATGATCCACCAAAACATATGCATATACATTTCTCAAGAAGTGACCTTAAGTCTTGAGCTTATCCCGTAAACCGTTTCCTTTCTTTACACCATTTTCATCATGTTTATAATGCTGCCCACATTTTGACTTTCCTTCTAATATTAATTGTTTCCTGTTTGGGATTGGATTTCCGTTTCCCCAGACTCCACCTCCGCTATACGTCGTCTTTTTCCTTAAAATGTTGCACATTTTTGCTCCCTAAATTAATTTAATTAATGTTCATATCACCATAGTTCTGTTAGCTTTGTCCAGTCCTAGTCATCAACCTAAGCAAATTGACGAACTCTCCGAGCATTCAATTTCCCGATAAAAGTAATCACGTCTACATTACTATTCTTAGTCGCAATTTTTAGCTAGCTAGCTTAATGTCTCATCTTTTATAATACCGGCGGTTTAATGATTCGGTAAATCACGTAACTACTCATTGCATCAAAATGTAAGGTGTTGGTTCACATATCATCATCGGAAATATATTAATTAAAAAAAAATCGCGTTTTTTTTTCAGTTCTTTTACATTCAAAAATACTATCACTGACGTTATTTTTGTGGTATAGTGCAAATAAAAAATGTAAATTAAATGGTTTAATCATTTTTGTTGAAAGTTACGACTAATACTTCCTCATTTCAATTCAATAGACTCATTTTCACTTTTGGGATGTTCTAAAATTTAGTCTTTCAGACAGTAATATTATTATCGATGAATTATCTAATATAGTCTCACTACTATCACTAGAATTTAAACCATTTAATTGAATCTAACTCATAATCTTACCATATTAAATAGCAACCACTAGTAGTTAAATAGAGGCACATTAGTGAAACTCTAACAAGTTAAATTATACAGTACTCCTTTTTTCTTAATCAACGTGTTTGTGAATTGGAGTGTGGGGAGTAGTATACTAGTATTATCTCCAAAACGTACCACAATTTATTTTTTTAAATCAGAGATAAAAATAAAATACTTACATCAATAAACAAGGGAGGGAACCTTTCAAAAAAAAAAAAAAAAAAAACAAGGGAGGGAGTACTACGTATACGTCGCTAATTCCAACTTTTCAAGCTCAGCTTTCCAGCTTAGTTGCCTCTTAGTCATCAACCTGAGCAAATCCAACCAATCACCGTCCTTATCGCTCTGCTAAGTTTCACATAATTTATTTCCACGAAGTTGGTGCAATGCAACACCACCTGCAACTTGTACAAATTGAGTTTATAATCCTAGTAATTACTAGTAGTAGTAATTAATTAAGGTGCTGAGAAATTTCCTCGGAATTGGAAATAAAGAAAAAATAAAAATAAAAAAAATCCTCGGAATCAAGTCGTCGGTCGGGACCCGCGGGACCTCATTTTTGGAGCCGCCTGGGTGTTGATTCCATGAATCTTGGACCTGTTAGGTGAGATTACGAAACCACTTGACAACACTCCGATCCCCACCACTCCCCAATGTTTTCTCTCTTTTTCTTTTTGTCTTTTTTCGTACTCTTCTTAGTTCTTACACACCAAAAATTACTCCTATAATAAATAATTTAATACTCCGATAATGGAGTAGTGTTTTACTACTATTAATCAAAATTTTCATTAAAACTATCTTTGATTTTGATAATGTAATCATCAATGTTCCTTCTTAGAAAAATGTGTGATTATGTGCAAAGGTATATGTAAAAATGTAACAGGCGGATCATTTTGCGTGTGGCAATCATTTATATTCCTCGTTTTAAAATAATTTTTTTAATTTGAGATTTCATTTTTAATATTACTAAAAATGAAAGTCTTGCACAGATTATCATTTTTGGACCGAAAAATTATTTAAAGTACTTCTTTCATTTTAAAATTATTATCTAGTATAAAAAAGATTTCAGATTTAGTTCAATTTGTATTAAAAATAAAAAGTCAAATATGACAATAATTTTGAGACGGAAGTAATAATGTTTTGGTTCAAAACAACTCAAATAACCAAGTCTAGCACTATAGTACCTGGGAGCATTCGTTACTGAACTGAACAAAAGCTTGTCAGCGGTCGAGTAATTCAGTTACTTATATGTTAACCATTGGATCAAAGTTTTAATCAACACTGGGAATTACTACTAGTTATTTGGACAATGGCTCAATAAATTTTCTTCAAATGAATATTGCACTAACTTTCACCTGTAAAAATGTGGGAAGTGAAAAAATCATGACGTTGCTTTCCAGGTTCAAAGTTCAAACAGCTGTCGTCTTTTAGGTATAATTAATTCCAAGTAATAAGGGAAATTGTTTAGTAATTCCTCTTTAAACCTAAAATCTATCCATCTCTGGAAATGTGAATCCGATTAATCGATTCCACGTCCTCCGTGACTGTTGAGACCACAGTCGCCGTTAACTTTTCGTCATGCAAAAGATAGGGGGAGAAAAAAAAGTATAGAATGTACTGGAATGTGTAATCTGTAGTTCTTTTAAGTTTTAAGTAGAACATGTTTTATAGGATGTGATGTCACTTCCAGCTACAAAAGTACTAGTACCATTTAATGTAAGAGATTGATATCATTAAAAAAATAATTACTAGTATATGCGTAGTAATATTGTAATCTCGGTTTTAATTACATAATAAAGAGCTACTAGACCTCTTTTTTGTTAGTTTATCTTCCGCAAAAGTTTTAAATTTTCGACGAAAATTATATATTTTTTTATCCTAACCATTAACCATTGTGTTGCTGAATTTGAATCTTAAACGTCCAGATCACCATTGAATCCCATGATACCACAATTCTATGATGTTAAATTGCGTTTCCTCTGATTCCATTGAGAATCTGGCAATCCTATTATTTAGATAGATTCGGAATCTTAATTTTGTGCGATAGGACAATTTTCTCTATAATAATAATAATTATTATTATTGTTATTCTCCTAAAAATATCAGATATTTTTTGGTTACGTATTAAACAAATGCAATTTTGTTGAATGATTTTCATATGATACTAGTAATATTAGTACTATTTAATACTAATTTTATTTACCTTTTCTTTTCCTGTTAATAAAAGAAACATTAATTGGACGGTTAACAAGTAAGCAGAAGCCTATAGATCCAACCGTGCAGTGTGTGACTGTGTGCGAACTCATCGTAACCTTTGGCGAGTTAGGGGGCGGGTTTTGTTTGGTGCCTATAAATACATCTGCCCAGTGTTGTAAACCAATTCACATTCAGACATCCAAAGACAAAATTTAGTAGTCTCCGACTCTCCGTTTGTAGACGAAAGAAAAAAAGAAAAACCCACAAAGACAAAATCATATTTACGGCTACAAAAGGAGAGGGAAAAGGAAAAAAAAAAACAGGGGGAGAGAAACAGAGTGAGAGAGAGAATGGGTGGTTGGGCTATCGCTGTGCATGGCGGCGCTGGTGTTGATCCCAACCTCCCACCGGAACGCCAAGACCAGGCCAAACAAATCCTTACTCGTTGCCTTAATCTTGGCATTTCTGCTCTTCGCTCCTCTCTCCCTGCCATTGATGTCGTCGAACTCGTCGTACGTTCCTCTGTTTCCATCATGCTCTGTTTTTTTTTCTCCACCCCAATCTAATTTTCTTGTGTTAGTTTTTTAAATTCATTTTTAATCCGATTAATCAAAACCCTTTATTTCAATTCGGCGTTCTGTTCATGTTTGATAACAATAACGTTTAGTCGGATTCAACTTCCGCAAGTGATCACCAATTTATTAACTTTTTCTGTCACAGAGTTGTTCTGTTTCACTTGATGTTTTTTATGTTTTGATACATGTGTAATGGAGTTTGGTGAAGAAATCAGGAGTCTGTTAAAAAAGTTTTTATTTTTTTTGTTGGGAAAGAATCAGATTTGACGGGGTGGGATGACAAATAGGCGTTTTTAGTGGCGTTTTTGTCGGTTCGAAGAGTTTTCGATTTATGAGATTCGTTTTTAAAAGCTGTGGTTGTGTGGTGAATACGCAGGTGAGAGAATTGGAGACCGATCCTTTCTTTAATTCTGGCCGTGGATCTGCTCTCACTGAGAAAGGAACGGTCGAGATGGAAGCAAGCATCATGGATGGACCCGGTCGGCGCTGCGGTGCGGTTTCGGGCGTCACCACCGTCAAGAACCCCGTCTCACTTGCCCGCCTTGTCATGGACAAATCCCCTCACTCTTATCTCGCTTTTTCCGGCGCTGAAGAATTTGCTAAACAACAGGTCTTTATTATACATTAAAATCACCATAAAACCCTTATATTATAGTCCTATAAGCTTTTAAATGAGGGGTTTTTTTTTTTTTTTTTTTTTGGTTCTGATCATGTAAAATGTGGTGCTTTCCAGGGAGTAGAAATGGTGGAAAATGATTACTTTATCACTGAAGACAATGTAGGCATGTTGAAACTGGCCAAAGAAGCCAACTCCATTTTGGTATGCCCTTAATCTCAAAAACACTATATAATTGACCAGTTTTTCTTTGATTTTTTTCCGGCGGCTGATGTGATAGTAACTTGTAACAGTTTGACTACCGCATCCCATTGGCTGGAATGGAGTCATGTGCTGCTTCCGTCGAGAGTCCAATTACGATGAACGGAATGCCCATCAGCGTGTATGCGCCGGAGACAGTGGGTTGTGTGGTGGTGGATTCCCAAGGCAGGTGCGCCGCCGCCACATCAACTGGCGGGCTGATGAACAAAATGAGTGGTCGGATTGGTGATTCCCCACTGATTGGTGCTGGGACCTATGCTTGTGATCTGTGTGGGGTATCCTGCACCGGTGAAGGCGAGGCTATCATACGAGGGACCCTCGCTCGGGAAGTGGCTGCTTTGATGGAGTACAAGGGACTAAACCTTCAAGAAGCTGTGGATTATGTGATCAACAAGAGGTTGGATCAGGGGAAAGCCGGATTGATCGCCGTGTCAAATACTGGTGAAGTAGCATACGGGTTTAACTGTGTAGGGATGTTCAGGGGATGTGCTACTGAAGATGGATTCATGGAAGTTGGAATATGGGAATAGATAGGGAATTTTCATTCTTAGGATGGAGATCACTCACTCTGCTGTGGTTGTTCTGAATGTCGTAGTTTTGTCTGAAAACCTTAATAAGTATGGCTGTAACATTTGGCAAATTATGGACCATAATTTGCACTGATTGTTGCAGTTTTTGTTTATTAACCCCTTGATTTAGGTTGGAACTAGTTTTTGCAGTCAAATTAATGATTGTATTTTTGTAGCCTTTGGTTTTCAATTTCATGTTCTACTTTCATTACCTCCCATCTGCAATCTGAAAAGCCTCTAAAGTACTAAAACTTCTCATTGAAATAGGAAAGGTGACAAAACCGATAAAAGTTTTGGTATATAAATCACCCCATTTACAACATACAGAGTGAATTACAAGATTGAAGTTCAATTATTCCTCAGCCAGATTTGGTGGTGGAATCAGCGGCGGAAGAAAGCTTTTCCTTGGCGGTTTGGATTGTATCGGAGACTTTAGCCGCCGTCTGAGCCATGACTCCTTTCCCAGCTGGATCTTTATCGGTACTTGGTTTGACGTGGGTGACTTCTACGTTTTCCTTCTTGGGTCTCTGGTCATCAGCAGCTCCCGGAGGTGACCGGAAATCAACTGTTTCCACCTTGATTTCCGTTGCGCCTTCTTCATTTACTCTTTCAGTTCCCTGAAAAATAAAAAAAGAATCAAATACCCAAATTAGTTCCAATTCCAATAGTATGTATACAAAGAAACACAATTAAGAAACACTATTCCTGCCTTAGTTTCCATATTTCTGGGCTTCAAATGTTGAATTGTAGCACAAATTTCTTTCTTTTGTTGAGTAGTACAAACTCCATTCGTCTACGATCCATATATGTATATACTGTTCTGGCTTATCTGATGATCTCCAAATAAAGCAATTTTGTATTGGAATAGGGGCTATTAATGTGGCACGTATCAGTTGTGATGGAAGAGTCTCATTGGCGTCAAAAGGGAAAACCACAAGTGTCTAGACACGTAATGGACCTGATTAAAGGAATTCTTCTTTTTCTGAATTAATCACTTACTACACCCAACTTCTCAAAACAAACAAATTGATCTATTTGTTGTCTAATAAAACGACAATCATTTTGGAACCGAAAATTTGACCAGAACTTTCTAATTAAGCGCATGCCTATATTTGTTGTGTTATGAGCGCTGAAAAAAATTTAAACAGACACATTCGGTAACTTTTAAATCGTCGGAAAGAAAACATTAGAGCAACAAAGTGTTACAAAAGCTAATCGAACAAGTGTACAATGAAATAGTGAAGTTATAGCTGGCAAGATATCTAGAGATCCAAATGAAATAATTGGGTATGAATTTTTTTTTATAATCTTTTCTGCACATTGGGCTTAAACTTAAGGAAAGCGTCAGCCATCATTTCTCCAAGGGAAACTTGGGCCACTGTAGTTAAATGAACTCCATCAGGTTGAAGAGGCAGTCCGAGAGGATCGACTTTTATCACGTTAGGAAGGTCAACGCCACGCTGTTCTTCTCTCAGAGCATCCAACAAAGGCCCGTTTGATGATGATAGAAGAACCTACAATGTCATTGAACTTGAGTTAAAATCTGCATCGACAATTGTTCTTTATACGTTAATTTCATATGTCCGAGAGTTCAAATCTAACTAGATTAAAAAGAGAGTAACAATTCATCATTTCATTAAGTTTATATTCATATACAAAAGAACCTACAATGTTATTGAACTTAATGATTTAAAATCTGCACAAACAATTGACTCAATGCTTGTGCTTTAACGTAAATTTCATATGTCGAGAGTTAAATCTAGCTAGATCTAAAAAAGTATAACAATTAATCATTTCATTCATGCTATACATACATGATACATGATTACTTGTAAAACAAAATGAAACAAACATTTGTATGTAGTGAATGAATAGTTTACCTCAATAACAGGCAAATTTGGTAACCGTAAATCGTTGCGCAAGTCCAAGATGAGATGCTCTAACTTATCTTTGTAATGATCAACATCTTTGGTATGAAACGTATCTCTTTCGCCTTGATACCAAAGAATTGCCTCAATAATTCCTCCATCCTTGATCGCTACAATAGCTCTAGCAATCAAGTTGTTGTAAAGCACAGATCCTCGACACCAATCATTAATGCTACTTGCTCCCACGGCACAAGGGACCAAACCTATGACCTTAAATCTGTCACCTTTTTGCAAAACTGTGTTAGCAAAAACCATCCCTGGTCCAATACCGACAGTTTTGTTCAGATCAATGTCAGCGTGAAGCGGCTCCCGTGCCTCCTCCCAAGTCAGCGAGGCGCTCAAGCGATGTATCGCCGGATTAGGCTCGCATTCTCGAGGGATGAAACCGTCCCATATTCCTTTCCTGACTCCGCCTCGGCCAGCCATGTTGCTCTGCCCGGCTAGTATGAATATGTGTCTGACATTATTCCCACGTAAGCCATCTGCATCCGAACGCTTTATAATTGATGGAGTTTCTTCATTTGCGGGGATTATAATCCCGAGTTCCTCTTCAAATTTGTGCATGAAGAAAAAAATTAATACTACACATAGCAGAAGCGTCGTTACCTTTGGGATTGCTGACATTGTTGTTAATTTAGGGGAGGGAATTTTCTTTTGGCCTAAAGGCCTTAAAAACAATATAAGTAAAATTAGCCAGCTCGCTTTAACAAATTAAACAAACTCCTTGATGTAAACTTAGTTAAAAATATCAACGTAATTTAATGTCTTGCGTTCAGTTTTTACACATGTTACATTCTGGGAAGGGCGCAAAATCAATATATTCAGCTTTTACTATATGTATCACTATGAAATTTGTAGCTCTCAAATCTTCTTCCTTGTTTTAGGTCTATTTTGATCAAGAGAACAATCCTATGACGACGAATTTTTGTTTAATTGAGAAACAATGAAGTAGACCCATCAAGTTAGGGGGCTGCTTTTTTCAACTCTCTTTTTGATTTTTTTTTTTTTTTTAAATTTTACCCCCTTTCCCCAAATTAATGCCAAAATGACTTGATACAAGATATTTATAAAGAGAAAAAGGAAGCTTCACTTGTGTTTATGATGTGTTCCTTCATTTACAAATTAAACGTGTAACACGAATTTATCCATGATTTTCTAAACGGGTGGTGACTAACTCGAAAGGCAATAATGGTATCTTTGATTTTAATGACTCTGAATCTCAAAGAATCTCCACTGATACATACCTATAGAATGATGAGATCTAAAGAACCTTCATCCAAATTATCATGATCCAGTAATAACTCATTCTGTGTTGAGCTGCCATATCTTTTGAGGAAAATTTTTCCTTCAAATTTTTTTTATTTTTTTTTTCTTTTCCCCTGCAAAAGAGGCAATAGCCTCCAGTTTACGAACTAGAAATATCGGCAATGTCATGTTCTAACAAATGTCTGATTTTAATTTTCTGAATTCCTCCATTTAACATGCCCCTCAAACAGGAGTTTGGGAAATTGAACTACTCCGAATTTGTTTCATCAGCTAGTTTCGAGCCAACAACTAAAGATTAATTGCCATCACTTGCTGCGTGACTCGCGTGCTCAGAATTGAAATTTTACTTGAAGTGTCAAATTCAAATTTTTTTTCTTCTGATCTTTGGGACCATTAATTTAAAGCTTAAGTTTACTATAAACAAGGACCAATTTGCGTAACTAAGAAAAATTAATCATCTTGTCTCCCAAACAAAGCAGAGGAAAAAAAGCTTGGTATTAACCATCTTAATTTTATGAAATGGCATTCTCCAGGGGATCAATGATGAATGAAACCGACCACCTAATTACTTACCATCCTCTGTATAGATATGTTTATGTTATTATATATATTGTAGTATAAAACAATTGATTTGTTTGATCACCTAAATGTGGACTAATTAAGCGAAAAATCGAAACCCAAAATTGGGAAACACATTTAATCTGCAGGCCTTACTACTCTGAATCGGAGCAGGAAGAGCTGGAATAGACTGAAGAAAGGTATCAGCCAGCATTTCCCCAAGCTGAACCTGAGATGAAGTGCTGAGATGCAAGTGATCCGGCTGCAATCTCAGCCCAGCTGCATCCACTGTTTTAACGTTTGGAAGGTCAACCTTAAACTGAGCTTTTCTCACTGTTCCAACATATGGCCCTGTTCCAGATGCCAATGCAACCTACACACGGAAATTACCCAATCATCAACAGCCTAATTGTTGAGAATTAAACCATACAATTTGGAAATAAGTCATGAAAGTATTAATGACAGTGCCCCATGTTGTTGGGTCTCCAGAAAGTACATGGAAACAGATTGATGGTTGGACATAAATTCTAGAGAAATATTTTTTCAAACTTTTAATTTGCTGCTATGGACCTTACAAAATTTATCTGTTTCCTATGTGTACATTTGGATTCAATGTACTTACTAGAGTAATTTTTTTCTCATTAGGCCAAATTTCTAACACAAAACTAACGAATTTGTCTGCAGTCAATCAATTCCCCTGTTTTCAGGGGTCAATTAACACACATTATCAAGATAATAAAGTGATGGCAAAGAATGGATAAGAGAGAATCTTTTTTACCTGGATGATAGGAAGTTGAGGCAATTGCAGATCAGCACGAAGATGAGTGAAGAATCTCTCCAATCTCCACTTATACATTTTCGCATCTTCATGATTCACAGTGTCAGCTTCCCCTTGGTACCAAAGAAGTGCCCGGATTACCCCACCACTGCCCGCCGCCGCCTCGGCCCGCCTCACCAGCCGGCCGTACAAGGCGGTGCCGCGGCCCCACTCGCTGATCTTGGTGCCACCAACTGCACATGGAACCAGCCCAACCACCCCAATTCCCGAGTCCTTATTCATCACCGAATTCGCAAATGCCATACCCGGTCCGACCCCACAAACGTTGTTCACATCTATATCCTTGTGCAATGGCTCTTTCGCGTTCACCCAAACATCATTGGCACTGAGCCGGAGGATTCCGGAGGCTCTGGGTTGAGATTGAGGCGGGACGACGCCGTCCCAGGTGGCGTTGATTACGCCTCCTCTGCCGGACATGTTGCTTTGTCCGGCCAGAAGGAAGACGTTGAAGGATTGCCGCGGCGGAGCCGGAGAAAAGTAGCCATCGTTTTGGGTTGTGGAGCTAACCAACCTGGCGTAGGCGGAAAGCAATAACCAAACAAAGGCAAACATCACTTTATGGCTTTAAGGGTGAGATGGCAATGGCACATATGCAAAAGCATATTATAGAATTTAGACAGGTCTTTATTGTGTGGACGGTTCGTAGAAGATTTAAATTCTTTATTCTTAGGGCTATAACTTGGACCATTATGAAAGCAAGAATATTCGGGGGAGTTTATTTTTACATAAAATAATGAAAAAAGTTAGTAAATTGGCCCATAAAGTACGGTAGAACGTCGATAAATTAATAATTTATAAATTAATAATTTTTAGTAATTAATAATTTTTTCCGGTCCCAACTTGAGACTAGTGAACTAAAATGATAAGATAATCCCTTTTACCCTATTAAAGCAGAATACAGGATGTTGATGTGGCAACTTCTCATTAAAAATTTTTGGCTCCAAATGCACCATATTTCATTAACTATTCTGCCACGTGTCATCTTTTTTTTTTTTTTAAAAAAAATTCTTATCTGGAGAAACAAAAGCTATTTTACGAAAATAGCTACACAATTTTAAGTCCTAACATTTTTCATTTATCAATCAAATTAAAATAACATTTAAATTTGCCCATAAACTTATCCCCTTTATTACTCCACATTCTTTTGTATGATTTCTGCATGGTTGTACTTTTTAATATTTTTTCTCCTTTGGGAGATGATTTTTTTATTTTTAGTTTTATTTTTGGCTAAAAAAGGAAAAAAAAACTAAATGTGTAGTTATTTTATTTTTTCCAAATCAAGAATTTATTTATCTATTAACACAAAATTAAAGCAAAAGGGCGCCCGGACATCTGCCGGGCCAAGCATCTAGTAATATTTTAAAAAATCTCCTATGTATCTATAGGTCCTAATAATACCATAAATTAATAAATACCCTAAAAGTAAAATAATAATAATAATAATTATAAATATTTAAAAAAATGAACTATTCATACTTATTTTTTAGTCCGTGGAGATTATATGAACTATGTATAGACTGTTAGTATTCAAAATTGTAGTAATACTTGATTGATTTGGATATAAAGACAATTACGAATTAAAGAATTTAGAGACGTTCTTTTTTCTTACAGAAATTTTTTAAATTAATAATTTATTAATTTATCAATTATTTAATAATTTTTTAAATTAATAAAATATGGTAATCCCGACGCTATTAATAATTTATAGAAGTTCTATTGTACTTTTTTTTTGGTTATTTTTTAATATTGCAAACAAACATTTTGGAACGAGAAAATACAGTATCAAATTCAGTTCAACTATTAACAATATCCTCAGATGCATGTACGAAGAGACTAACTGATTGGCCTTTGAACAAGTTGGCTCTATATATATATATATATAAAAATTTTTGGGAGTTTTCAAGGTGACATAATTCTGAGTTTCGAGTAGCCTTTGAATATGCGCAAATTATAATATACGGTAGGTTACAACTCACAGGTGATGCCCGGTTTGAGTTTCTAGATATAAAGTGCCAAAGTCCATAATTAATTCTGTCTAGCAGCCTGCAAAGAAAGGGAAAAAAGACTAAGAACACAGGTCAACAATTCTTTTGGGAGAAGTCAACAGTGTTTTCCAGATTTACATTTTACAATTCTCCAACCTTGCGTATAAGAAGCAGTCCAGTGACGTATAAGATGGTTCAAATTATGGTGCGTGGACTTTTGTAAACATAATTAATTAAGTAGATTCGTCATGATACCATTAAAATTTATGATTGAGATGGCCACTAACCCACCTTACATTTCATTAAAGGTGAAAGAAAATCAATTAGCCAAATACAAAAGAGAATGAAATAGAAGAAAGAGGCAATCAAGTAATTAAGGCTTTGTTTGTTTTCTTTTAAAGAAGGACACACTATTAAGTGTACTTTCGCTCACAAAATGGAAAAGAAACATAGGTTGGCTCTCCCTACAAAGTTTGGATCCTTGATCTTGTTCGTCGTGGTGCTAGCATCCCGCTTTTACTTCTCCATTTAGTTCCCCACTCATCCACACACTTATTTAATTTGTTGATCGTTTTTGACAAATGGTCATTTAAATCTTTCTTCTTCTTCTTCTTATTATTATTATTTTTTTTTAATTTCGAACCGGAATGATTTTTGTATGCTTTTAATTTAATATGAGTTTCATTGCTTCTTTTTTTTCTTTTAAAAAAAAGTATATATAAACACAAAAATAAAAAATTTGTATTTTCTGTGTATTTAAATTTTATCTCGATGTAATATATCTTGTCAATACTATATATTATATATAGAAAATTATTTGTGAACGAAACGAATATAAATTTTTTTAATTATGTAGAGGCCCAAATGATCATGTTATATTATGCTGAAGCGAATAGTTAATGATATTTCCGTTGATCCTTACATACTAAACACGAGTAAAAGGTACAACTCTAACTAATTCAAATAGAGTCGAATAGTTTAAAATAGATAATTTTTGACATCTCAATCGGTACCATAAACTCATAAAGTATAAATAAACTAAGCAGTGAACAGTTAAAAAAAAAAGAAAATCGTTCTGACCAGATGAATTAACTGCCAGGAGGAAAATAGGAAATCACTGCTTTCTAGAATCTAGTCTTTGGGGGTTTTTCAAAGTCAAGCACCCAATTCAAATTTCAAAGTCAAACACTCAAGTCAGAAGAACCATCATCCTCTGAGAATTTATGCAGGGGACCAAAAAACCATAGTTTTGTTCGATCATCAGATCTAGCTAACGCTTGATTCACAGATCAATCTTAAAATGAGTTTGATCAGATTCTTGATGCCAATGAAAGTCCTACTCAGAATCCTCTTCGTTTTTTCTCTGTTCCTGTCATTTCCACCCCCTTCTTCTTCTTCCTCAAGAACCTACACTAGTTTAACCAAGGGCTCATCGATTTCCCCTCAGGATGTGTTGCTCTCAACCCCAAATGGCATCTTCACGGCCGGGTTTTTCATGGTGGGTCAAAATTCTTATTGCTTTTCCATTTGGTTCAGCGAGCAATACGACGGAAACCACACGATTGTTTGGATGGCCAACCGTGACCAGCCGGTCAACGGGCTGCTCACAAAGCTCTCCCTCCAAAATTCCGGCAATCTCGAATTGATCGACGCCGGGCAGCTCACCGTTTGGACAAGCAATACAGAGTCAACCAGCGATGCCCAGTTGCAGCTCCTTGACAACGGAAATCTCATCCTCAACGGTACTTCAGAAGGTAAAATTCTCTGGCAAAGTTTTGACTATCCCACGAATACTCTTCTTCCACAGCAGTTATTCACGAGGAATGGATTGCTTGTTTCTTCCAGAAGTGAAACCAATCATTCCTCTGGTTTCTATAAGATGTATTTTGGCAGTGATAATGTCCTGCATCTTAGGTATGAAGGTCCGGATATAACCAGTGTCTTCTGGCCCGACCCGTCGCTTGTCATCTGGGATGCAGGGAGGTTGACCTATAACAGTAGTAAAATAGCTGTATTAGATTCAACCGGCCATTTTCTGTCTTCTGATACGCTTCAATTTAATACATCTGATTATGGGATCGAAGTTCAGAGAAGAATGGTCATGGATGTTGATGGCAATCTCCGGATTTACAGTCTTGACAGGGCAAATCGGAGGTGGGTTGTGACGTGGCAGCAGAGTTCTGAACCTTGCAAGATCAATGGCGTTTGCGGTGCAAACAGTATATGTACATATGATCGAGTGGAAGGAAGGAAATGCAGTTGTATCCCTGGGTACAAGATGAAGAATGTGGAAGATTGGTCATCTGGTTGTGAGCCAGAGTTCAAGATCTCTTGCAATGATAACAGGTCATCAGGTTTTGCTGAACTTTTTCATGTTGAATATCCTGGTTATGATCTTGGCTCTTATTCTAATTATACCTTTGAGGGATGTAAGAGTTTGTGCTTGAGTTTTTGTGAATGCAAAGGGTTTCAATACAAATTTGATTTGGTAAATGGCTACTATAGTTGCTTCCCAAAGATTGTTTTGTTGAATGGATATCGCTCTGAAGAATTCCCTGATCCCATGTATATAAGAGTTCCGGTAGTTAATCTAACCTCGTTTCAAATGCCTGACCAAGTTTTCAAATTGCAGTGCTCAGATGAAGTCACCCAATTAGATAGATCATATGAGAAAAAGGAGCAGGACTGGATTAAGTCCTATTTTTGGTGCACTTTAGCTGTCGGAGCTTTTGAAGTCATTTGCTTTCTTACGTATTTTATCAAAACTCGAAGAGGGTCGAGTTCAAAAATACAAGGCTACCTTCAGGTTGCTACTGGATTTAGGAAATTTAGCTACGAGGAGTTAAAGAAAGCAACAAAGAATTTCAGGGAAGTAATAGGAGAAGGAGGGGGTGGTGTTGTGTATAAAGGCATCTTGGCGGATAATCGAGTTGCAGCGATTAAGTTTCTCAAAGAAGCCATCCAGGGGGAAGCTCAATTTCTTGCAGAAGTAAGCACAATTGGGAGGCTAAACCACATGAATTTGATTGAGATATGGGGATACTGTGCCGAGGGCAAGCATAGGCTTTTAGTGTATGAATACATGGAGCACGGCTCGCTAACCAAAAATCTGTACTGTGGAAGACTTGATTGGTGGAAGCGATACGAGATTGCTCTAGGCACAGCAAGAGGGCTTGCTTATTTGCATGAAGAGTGCTTGGAATGGGTTTTGCACTGTGATGTGAAACCTGAAAACATACTTCTGAACTCCGAATATCAAGCAAAAGTGGCAGATTTCGGGCTCTCCAAACTATGGCACAGGAGTACGATTCACGATTTAAAGTTTTCCAGGATTAGAGGAACAAGAGGGTACATGGCACCAGAATGGGCCTCCAATCTTCCAATAACTTCCAAAGTCGATGTGTACAGTTACGGAATTGTTGTTTTGGAACTGATGACAGGAAAGCAACCGACGGGAAGCAATTCGAATGATGATGGCAATGGGGTTGAACCAAGGAGGCTGATTAGTTGGGTGAAGGAGAAAATGCAGGAAGCTGATGGTACATCATCACCAACACCAATCACTGAAATTGTGGATCCTGCAATGAATGGAGATTTCGACATTGGGAAGATGGAAGTTTTGCTTAGAGTGGCATTGCAATGTGCAGAGGAGGACATTGATTCAAGACCTACAATGAAGCAAGTGGTTGACATTTTACTTCAACAAAATTAGTTTCTGTCAAGACTAGAAGCCAGGTTTGATTTAGTAGGAAATGAAAAATGGGCCAATAAGTACAGTTTTTGCTATGCGTTCTGAAAAACGTGTCATCTGATCTTCAAATTTCTGCAAAATGTACAAACATTATTGTTTTGCATCACTACATATTTCATCGGCGATGAACTAAGCCGTTGCAGCCTTCATCTCCAGATATAACAGCCTGAATCTTTTGTACATCTCTTAATTTATCGTCAGCATATCTACCAGAATTCGTAGCGTATCATGGTTTATGATGATCATATAATTGATACGAGAAAACTAATTTTTCTTTTAACCTATACAGATCTTGCTATTTCAAAGGCTGTCACTATTTTATCCTTTGTCCTAGAATGACAGTACTAGTACTCCAGGAATCAGCAAGAAAAGAAATAGCATCTACTCTCTTGGTCCAAAATCGATGGGATTTCACTCCAATAGTAACTTCAATTAGAGATATGGAGGGTGATGAAACTTGGCTGATTCTTCATTCCAAAAATTACCAAGCCTTTGTCTTTCACTTTTCAAGCCATGTACCGTTTTCTGCAGAAGTGATAATAAAAAAAGTGACAATCATAAACGTTGTAACACTCTGCCTTTTATCTTAGCGTTCCACATCCCACATTAATCAAGATTCTCTACATAGTAAGCAGACACTACAAAAACAAATAACAGGAATTCAAGTATTCAATGTATTCAAAGATCAAGCAGTGTGACACAATGATAGTTATGCATTATTTATGCATATAGCTGATGGAAGATTCGAACGTGACAAACTATTATATGGAATAAAACCTTCGAGTATTAGTCGGTAGAGGGTCAGGCAGAAATCTGAAAAATGCATCAGCCAACATCTCTCCCAGCAGGACCTGCGACTGAGTTGTGAGGTGAATACCGCCGGGTTGGAGTTCTAGGCCTTTGGCATCTACACAACGGACATTTGGAAGCTTAAGTCCCAACTGAGCTTCTCTAACAATGTCCACAAATGGCCATGGTCCCGATGGCAATGCCACCTATTTCACATTTAGAAACCAAGTAAGGATCCTCATCAAATTAAATGACCATTTTTTTTTCACTTTTAACACTATAAATGAACAACATTATTAGAGTTTTCCAATATGCATTTCATATGAAGTTACAGAGTCGAAGCTTGAGGTCTCCAACAAAATAACTATTAATATGAGACGCAAGATTAAAGAATTCATAATATTTAAATCCAATATCTCCCATTTTAGAATTCTTGTAGCTTCATAAGTGTTGCCTTCTTATCAAGATCAAACCATTTACTCTTTGACTCTCTCTTTGCCTTTGATTCTTTCCTATATTGGGAACTTGCAAAAATTTCTATTCCAAATTCATTCAACTAACCTCAAATTATCCTAAGAATTTTTGTAAATAAGAGACGGTATAAAACCAAGTCCTAGAAAGATTTAGTAATTACTCCATTTTCAGCTTATAATACTTGCAGAAACAATAGAAATTAACAAACCTGAATGATAGGGAGCAATGGCAACCGCAAATCAGCACGAATGTTGTTGAAGAATTTCTTCAGGTTGTTCTCGTAGGATATCGCGTCCTCGTAATCGATGGAGTCACTCTCACCTTGATACCACAACATAGCTCTTATAACACCACTGCCACCGCTCACGGCGGCACTGGTTCTATTAAGTAGCAGCTGGTCGTATAAGTACGTGCCTCGCTCCCATTGGCTTATGTTTGTTCCTCCAATGGCACAGGGCACCAGACCCATAGACCCGAAATCCGGTTCCCTGTGCAAAATCGAATTAGCAAATGCCATGCCCGGACCAATCCCGTTAGTTTTGTTCACATCAATGTCCTTGTGCAATGGCTCTTTGGCTTCTTCCCAGGTGAGGTTTGCAGTTAGCCGGAAAATGGATGGGTTCGGCTGACATTCCGGCGGAACAAACCCGTCCCACACCAAGATACCTTCCGGGTTCTCCTGGATACCACCTCGGCCAGCCATGTTGCTTTGTCCGGCCAAGATGAATATATTACTTGGCTGCGCATTAGCAATAATAAATGGACTTCCAATTGCCAATAGTAGCAAGAGAGACTGAATCATGGTAGGGACTATATGGAAGGAGGTTGACCAAATGCTAGTGCACAGATCCAAAGTTTTAAATCTGGAAAACTTTACTTTTCTTTTCTTTTATCATGAGGGACAGGGATGATCATCCTTAACATATTAATTAAAAAAATTCACGACGGTACTGATGAGGATCACTAAGTGCATGTTTGTTTCGCTTTTTTTAGTGTGTGCTTTTAGGTGTTTTTTGTATTGAGAATTTAAAAAGGTGTATTAAAAATATACAAAGATATGCTGAGATGAGACAAATATTATTATATTATTCTGAAAAAATCATGAGAAAAAAAGGAACCAAACAGAGCCTAATATATTGCTCCCTTCATTCCATTTAAACAAATCAATTTGTTTTCTTATTTATTTTATTATTACGTACCAGGTTCTCAAATCCCTTTGTTTATTGTTTGTTGTTTAAATGAAACAGGATGGAGGGTAGTTTTTTTTTAATCCATTTTCTTTCACAATGTCAACAAATGGGGATGGTCCCAATGGCAGCGTCGCCTTTCTAACAATCAAGAACGGAAAACGGAATTTGACTAAACGACCATATTAAAGGCAAAATTAGATTGCAATTAACATGAATGATGACACGGGACAAAATGGAGCTAGCAATGGAGAACGCAAAGTGAACGGCAACGTCAAGTAAAAGTCTTTTTAGGTTCTTTGGTGAGATATTATTCGTAATAATGACTTGATCATCAAAGTCGGAAAACATCTCGGTTAGTAATGACTGATGATCACTGACCCAAGTCTAGCGACTGAATTAACTTTTTGTTGCAATACATAAAATTGAAAGAACAAACTGATGAAATGAGTATTATTTATTTGAATTTATGTGATTCAATTCAATTTTTCCTTTTCTTGTTTGATAACAAAGTTCTCTACAACATGAATTTGAATTTGTTAGAACTCAATATGGACAGAGAAGGAGTACTTTAATAAGTTAATAATCAAATTAACTAATATCTAAAGCCTGACTTAAGGCTTTCTGAGTCCTAGAGTTTCTCTTTCTATGAAGTTTCCCTTAGAGTCATTGTTTTTTTTCCAGTTTCGGCAATCACTTTCCATCCCTTCTAGTCAAATTTGTAATCTGATCTATACAATCTTCCTTCGAAATTCAACTCTCTTTCTGTCTCTTTGGAATCCATGTCTGGTCTCGATTGTCAAAAACATTTTCAATCAAGCAATAAATTTGTCCTTGAATAACCAAATTCTAGCATGTTTTAATTTATTACAAAAACAATAATTTTTCTAAATTTGGCCCGTAGATCTTCTTGTTCTTATTTTGTTATAACGTGTTTTATGTTTTTTACTCTAGTTTTTTACAGATCTGATCACCGGCTTAGGGATCTATAGTCGGCTATTCTGGTCATTACTTCACGCCCGTCTGCGATTATTTTGCGGTTAGACCACTCATGGATTAGTTGTTAGAGGAGATGTGTGCTAATCTCTCTCTGAATGAACCGAAAAAGGCTCCTTTAGCTGAATCGGTCGGGAGAAAACTTGGATCTGGCAATTGTCTGGTGGGAAAGGTCATTGCACCAAAGGGTCGTTTCTTGAGTCATAATGAAATTGCCAACCATTTTTGGAAGTATTGGAATGTGCAACATAGTTTTCACCATATGGATGCTGGTCGGAATACTGTTTTCTTCAAGTTTAACTCCCCAGTAGATCTACGAAGGGTTCAACAAGGTTCTCCATGGACAATTGGTAAATTGCTTTTTGTTCTCACAGAGGTTAATGAAGATGATGTCAATGATATGGTGGACTTCTCCTGGGTTCCTTTTTGGATTCAGATACGGGGTTTGCCTTATGGTTGATGAACAAGGACGCTGCTGAGTCCATCGGGAATGTTATTGGTCAATTCGTAGAATCTGATTGTGATCAGGATGGCCTTGCAATCGGTGTATGTTTGCGTACTCGGGTCTCTATTGACATCACAAAGTCACTTTGTCAATCAGTGGAGGTCAACTTCAAAGACATGATTTATGCTTGTGAAATTAGCTATGAAAGGCTCCCTGATTTTTGTTATTTTTGCGAAATAATTGGCCACACTAATCAGGATTGTGAAGCAAAGATCCTAAGTAATACCACCCATGAGACAATCATCAATTTCAAGAAAACTCTTCGGGCAGCTTCAGTCACTGGTTGTTCTTCATCATCATCAGGATCTTCGAGTGGAAATTGGAGGAGATCATGTTCTGATAGCCAAGACAATTCGGGTAATAAAACCTTATATCGACCTCCCAAACAAAGAGACAATTTCGAAAGCAGGAAATCCACTCACCCGAAGCCTATGATTGTTTCTGAACCCTTTGATTCTACCAAAAATATTGCTGTTTCTTCACTCCCTACCCCATTGCCTTCAAAACCACCACCCTCACCCTCTGATGAACTTGTTCATGTTAGCCTCCTGAAACCAACCCCAATCTCGCACGAAACATACATTTGGTGAAACTTTGTCCTCAGGAACTTCCCTTGTCTTGCAACCCCTGAAAATCTTGCTCGAACTTTTCCTGAACCAGAACTAAACCTGAACCATGACATCAAACTCTTTCCACAACACAATAAGACCTATGATCAGACTCATTCACAGGAAGTAGCATCTCAATCCCCACCCCATTCCCCCACCGAAACCCATCCCGTTCCCCTTATTACCTACCCTAGTTCTCCACCACAACAACAAAGCTCCTCCTCTGAAGTTAACCTAATCCCGGATCAACCTTCTAGTCCTTTTTTACATGCTGTTCCAGTGGCATTTGATTCTCCGTCCCGTCGAGTTGCTAAGACCTTAACAAAGTATAATACACGTAAAAGTCTTTCTGTGGTGTCCAACGGAAGGGGAAGAGGAAGAGGCAGGGGGACACGACGAAAGTTGCAAGTCACTGAGAAAGTCGAGTTAGTTGGCATAGAGGTTGCTAGTAAAAGGAAGCTCGATTCCGATCTTACATCTGAAGGAGGGAAGCGAAGAAGGGCTTCTGTTGAAACCTGGATTAAGGAGGTGATGGTCATAAATGAAGTTGAGACAAATATACCAGAGGCGGTGGCTGGCATGAAGGACCAACACCGCCTACAAATATGAGTATCCTATGTTGGAATTGTCGGGGGCTTGGGAACCCTCGTACAATTCAGGAACTGCGCGAAACCATTAGCGCCAAGTCACCCCAATTGGTTTTTCTATCAGAAACCAAATGCTCCTCTTCTACAATTGATGATATAAAATCTAGGTTTAATCTGTTTGGTGTTTTCGTCGACTCGATCGGCTCGGCGGGAGGTTTGGCATTGCTTTGGTGAAAGGAGATTACTGTTAGGCTTCGATGTTTCTCATATCGATTTATTGACTGTATGGTGGACCTCCTCGGCTGCACTTTTCGATTTACTGGCATATATAGGGAGCCAGATGTTAGTAAACGTCGAGAATGTTGAAATTCGTTGAAATCTATCAAGGAATATCCTGAAATTCCTTGGATTTGTTGTGGAGATTTCAACGAGGTTCTTTCACAATCGAAATTCAATAGTGCTGGGAAAAGAGCTCAATGGCAAATTGACTTGTTTCGGAATTTTCTTGCTGAATGTAATCTACATGATATGGGATACAATGGCAGCTGCTTCACTTGGTCTCGACTTCTAGCTGCCCCTCGTACACAGCGGGCACACTTGGATCGATCAGTGTGTATCCTTTGTGGCGGAGCCTTTTCAAAAGGTCTACGGTCACTCATGTCCCTTCCTTTGCCTCGGATCATGATATGCTTCATATTCAATTCTCTCCCAACAGGTTTGAAAGGTCTCATTACCGCAAAAACCCATTCCGATTCGAGGCAATGTGGGTCAAATCCTCCAATTGTGAAAAAATTATTGGCGAATCTTGGTCTCAACCATCCTCCACTCTTTGTTCAAAACTAGAGACATGTGCTATTGGTCTTCTGAATTGGGGAGGCAGGGATGTGCATGGTGTTCAGGAAAAAATTGAAAAGCTGAAAGATAAAATTAAAGGCATGGAAGCCAGAGTAATCACTGCCGAAATCCGAGAGGAACTTGCAACCCTTAAATCCTAGTTAGAATCTCTTTTGGACCAGGAAGATTTGAAGTGGAAACAGAGAAGTAAACAACACTGGTACAAGGAAGGAGATTGTAACACAAAATTCTTTCATGCTTTTGCTAGCAAAAGGCGTGAAACGAATCATATTGCTTCGTTGAAAGATAAAAATGGAACGGAATGCACGTCCCCTGAAGATATTGAGGCCATTATTTTGGAGTATTTTGGTGATATTTTTACCTCTTCATGTCCGTTTGAAAGGGATGTCCAGCAAGCTCTCAGCCGCATTCGGGTTAGGGTTGATGACGATATGAATAGCTGGCTACTGATGCCTTTTTTCGGCGATTGAGGTGGTAAAAGCGCTAAAGCAAAAGCATTCTTTTAAATCTCCGGGACCGGATGGTACGGGTCCTATTTTTTTTTTAAAAAGTATTGGAATATATTTGGTCCTGAAATTGTTTCTTTTGTTTTAAATTTTCTTAATAATAAGGTTTTTGACAGCAACATGAACCATACCTACATTGTCCTGATTCCCAAGACAAAAAAGCCTGATCTCATTACTCAATTTAGACCGATTAGCCTTTGTAATATCATGTACAAACTTGCCTCTAAGGCTTTAGCTAATCGAATTAGATCCATTTTACCCTCCATAATTTCCCCTTCACAATCTGCTTTCATTCCAGAAAGATTGATCACCGATAACGTGTTGATTGCATATGAAACACATCACTATATGAGATCAAAATCTAGGGGTGGGAAGGGTCTCATATCTATCAAATTGGATATGAGTAAGGCTTTTGATAGAGTCGAATGGTCTTTTGTGTGCGCTGTTATGAAAGCCTTAGGTTTCCATGATTCTTTAGTTGATCTTGTCCATACTTGTCTTTCCACTGTTCGTTTTTCTTTCATTTTCAATGGGGTTGAGTTTGGTTCTCTGATTCCTCAGCGAGGTATTCGACAAGGAGATCCTTTATTTCCTTATTCATCTTATGTTCGGAAGTGTTTTCTTGTATTCTCCAAGACTTGCAGGCATTTCAGTATCTAGATCCGCTCCAGCTATATCTCATTTGTTTTTTGCGGATGACAATCTCTTTTTTGGGCATGCCACAGAGGAGGAGACTTATTATCTCCCTTTTGCTCTCAATCTTTATGAAAAAGTTTCAGGGCAGCGAATTAATCTTGACAAGAGTCGCATCATGTTTTCAGGAAATACTTCTCCCTCCACCAAGGCATCCATATGTGGCATCCTAGGTATTCCTAGTGTGCCTGATCATGGGAAATATCTAGGTCTTCCATCCGTCCTTGGTCCGAATAAGAGCCTCATGTTTTCTGAAATTAAAGATGAAGTCTGGAAGAAACTTGTGGGTTGGAAGGAAAGACATCTCTCTAAAGACGGCAAGGAAGTCCTTCTAAAATCAGTGATACAAGCGATCCCAACATACACCATGAGTTGCTTCAAACTTCCGGATTGTCTTTTGTATGAAATTCAACAGATGATGAGCTCCTTCTGGTGGGGAGATTCAGGAGATTCACGCAAGATCAGATGGTGTTCATGGGACTCGATGGCGCAAAGTAAGGACATGGGAGGTTTAGGTTTCCGTAATCTTTGCTGCTACAATCAGGCAATGTTGAGCAAACAAGCTTGGCGACTTCTCACCAATCCGACGTCGCTGCTTGCACACGTCCTCAAGGCTAGATATCATCCGGATTCTTCATTCATGCAAGCTGAATCGTCTCCCAGCTCTTCATGGCTTTGGAAGAGTATCATGGAGGGTAAATCTTTAATTGATATTGGCATGCGCAGGAGGGTAATAAGTGGACACAATACCCTGATTGGAAGGATAAGTGGCTTCCTGAGGCTCCCCTTTGGGTTCCTACCCCGCCGGTTGGGCTCCCGGAGGATAGTGTCATCAGTTTGCTGATTGATGAGGAGACTGGTTGGTGGAATCATACTCTGATCAGACAGCTCTTTCCTCAGGATGTTTGTATCCAAGTTTTTTCTATTCAGCTAGGCGATTTGCAGGCATCGGATTCTTATATCTGGTCGCCAAATCGATCAGGGAGACACACAGTCAAGTCAGCCTACCATCTTGCTCTCAATCTACACAATCCGACAGCTAAAAGTTCTGCTTCGCAAGCACAAAATTAGAAAAAACTTTGGAGGCTCTCACTGCCACCAAGAATTCAGCATTTTCTATGGAGATGTCTTTGAAACTCGTTGCCAACATTAGAGAATCTAGCAATCAGGCATTTGACTTTTGATCCACAGTGCTGCTTTTGTGGTACCACAGATTACAGCTCAATTCATCTGTTCTTCCTCTGTCCATTTGCGCAGCAAGTGTGGTCTTTTGCAGGCCTTCACCACATGATTATGCTCTTCCAAGGTCATAGTTTCCAGCAATGGTTCTGTGATCTGTTTGATGCGTTGGACAGAGTAAAAGCTTAACACTTTGGCTTCATCTGTAACGTCCTGTTGCAATGTAGAAATGGTAAGGTGTTCACGGAGAAATCTTGCTCACCTTGGGGGGTAATTCTGTCGGCTACAACCATGTTGCAAGCATGGAAGCAATCGAAATCAGAAAATGCTGAAATGTCCCATTTTACCGTTGATTCTGTTTTTCGTCCAGCAGCAGGGAAAGTGACCATATACTTTGATGCTGGCATCTCACATTGGAACAGGGTTGCTGGTTTTGGAATATATATTGCAAACCCTGATGGTGGTTTTCGCAATGCTTTCGCTTCCTATGCATCCAACGTTTCCGATTCAGACTTGCCGAACTAATGGCACTAAGAGAAGCATTGAGGACTACCCAACGTTTGTGCCTTACCGACTTTCAGATTGTCGGGGACTCCCTCAACACGATCCTGGTTGGCCGTGAAGAAGTTGAAGGTCCATCCGCAGTAGCTCCGTTTATCCAAGATATTAAACATCTCTCACGAAGTCTCCCCAACTCTAATTTGTTTTGGATTAGCCGTTTAGAGAATGGTTTAGCTCATGAAATTGCTTTTTATGCAAAATCTTGTAAAGCGAGGGACGTCCTTTGGTCGTCACCTCCGGATTAGTTATCATTCAGTGCTAGCTGATTCCAGCTTTGTTATAATATTCCTTCTTTAAAAAAAAGCCTGACGTAAGGAAAAACCCCTACCAGGAAATATATCATTAAACATATAGGTAATAATAATTGAGATACATTAATTTAAATATAGTCCACCAGTATATTTGTTATGGTATATGGAAGAATTGGAATCCAAATCAGTTAAACCTCATAGTTGTTCTTGGGACAACGAATCAGAGAACTAACCAATATTGCATTGGCAATGTCCCTCGAAAAAGGAATGCATTTTACACATAAGATTTCCCGGAGATCAACCCGTAATTTTCTATAAATTACTACTCCCCCGGCCCAGGCATTTTGATTTTGCCCCATGTTTTACCCAGTATGTCTTTTTAATTGGAATAAAAATCTTAAAAACTATTCATAATAATTAGGAAAACACAACGAATGTGAAAATATATTCTTAAAGTTTTTTTCTCAATTAAAAATATATCTTAAGTTAAACCTAGAACAAAATTAAAATGCCTTACAATAAGGACCGGAGGGAATACTATATATATAACAAGACATTACGAAAGAAAAATCCCAACGACAAGAATTAATCTTTTTCCCTAAAACCTCAAATTAGTTTCCTTTACCACATTTGAAACATAAACAAACCAATGACAACATCATTACTAACAACTCGAACTGTTCTCCCCATGCTCTTCTTGATTGCGTCACTAATCCTTGTAGTATTTCCAACACATTCAGATGCTACTTTTGTGAAAGACAAAGAGACTGTTGAGAATGTAGTATATACGATTGCACAAGCGCCGACATTTTTCTGGGACGACGACACGAGTATTGGCAAGGGCAAGGGCACAAGCGCCGACATTTTTCTGGGAGATGAACCCGATTGTGCGCTGAAACCTGAAGAGTGTCTTCCTTCCCCATCCGGAAATCCTTACCGTTGAGGTTGCTCCGCGATCAAACGTTGCCGGTGTTGCCGCAAAATGTAGCTTGAAGATCAACTTCAGATGTAATCGATCTTTTTCGCATGACTGATCACTTGACTACGTACGAAGTTCTTCATCAGTTGAAATAAATTAATGGGGTTTGATCAATCCATTCTTGTAATAGCAAATGTATAGCTCAATAATATTACCTTAATGAAGGTAAGAACTCTTGTTATTCTTCACAAGAATCAAATAATCAAATAAAATATTACCTTTATTAATATTATTGTTATAATTCTTTAATAATAATAATAACAATAATATTAATAGAATATTCTTCTTCTTCTTCTTCTTCTTCTTCTTCTTCTTCTTCTTCTTCTTCTTCTTCTTCTTCTTCTTCTCATAATATACACCTGGCTAAAAAGAAAAATTATATTAAGTATTCTAAACGTAATAAAAATTGTTACATTTCAATTTAAGCCATTCTCAAATATCTTATAGATTTCCTTACATTATATTCTAAAATAAATCTTTTTTCGTAGAAGAATTGTTTAGAAAAATTGTTGTTATGGTAATTGGGAGAATATTGAGGAGTATTACTTACTACATTCCAAAATGATTTTCTAGTTGGAATTTTCATTTTTAGTTCAAATTTTATTAAAAGACAAAATCCAAATTGGACAATAATTTTAGAAATGAGGAGTTAAATGAAACTGATGTCGACTTTATTTATTCATCATCATGAATTAAATTCTCTTAAACATAATTTCCATCTAAGAAATGCCAGGTTATCATTATTATTTTTTTACTCTCCTTTCTAAATTCAAATTATTTCTCGCGTTTTCTTGTTCTTCTCATCGATATATATGTCTTTATCTTTGTAACTATTATTATTCTAGACCTCTCTCTCATAAGGTTAATTCTAAACATTTTCAATCACGTCTTTTAATTCTTTCTCCATACATCATCGAGATCATAGCAGATCTAAAGAAAAGAGGCACAAACTTAATTAAAACATCCAACTTCGGGTCAAATAGCTTCTTATTTTCAAAGTGATTTGTGTATCTACGTCTATATTAATCCAATATAATTTTATACATTAAAGAGCTTATTTTTTGGACACTTGGTGCGTAATGGCTTAGTTAATAAAAAATATAAGAAAAATCAAGCTCAATTCAATACAATAAATTTTATTTGGTAACTCATTAATTTTACTTATTTACTTGCATATTTTTTAACCAGTGAAAACAAATAATTAATCTAATAATAAATTCAGCAACTACCGTGATCTTCACCTTGCTCGAAAAAATCATTTTCACTACAATATATACCGCATATGTGGTCAAGGGATAAAAAAATTGGGCATATCATCATTAATGGTTAATGAAGCAAATAATAAATCTGTTATTGAATAAAAAAAATTGGAGATATCATCATCAAGGGCTGCGATGATGATTTTGAACCCATGGATATTGGACTGCCATGATCTTCATCAATGTGGAAACAAGAGCAAAAACTGATCACCTTAGTTATGGAGTAATATATTACTAGTTACACGACCCGTGCCAAGCACGGGTGGACTTTGCAATCATAATTTATATTACGTTGCTATAAAAAAGGAAAAAAAATAGTACAAAATTTATCGGGAGTTCATTATAAATATTATTTAGCAATGTTGGTAAGACAAATGAAAACCTAAATTAATCAAAGGTGGCGAAGTGTTTCTTTAAAGACCACATTAGTTGTACGCTTACTTTTGCTACTCTCTTCATCAACTATAAATACTCTTTAACCCTCTTTTGGATGTGACTCTTGAAAAAACAATATAGAGCTGGCCATGATTGAAAACCGGTCGAGGCAAAAAAAGGCCTACATGCGAAAGAGATTGTCTCTGGCTCTTATTGATCGTTATGACAAAGAAAACACCCAATGGAAATTGTTAATTTCTCATCTTAAATTGGACTCTCTTGTCTGACGGCGTAATTGGCAGTCGTGGATTAGAAACTATATCACCAACATGTGACCCGCATAGATTTCGAATGCAAGGAAAACTTACAAGAAATGATTTGTCATTCATCAAAACTATCCCCTAACCTTAAATGCTTAATCCTCAAATGGAAAATTTTAAGAATGAATGGTTATGATCAATTCCTTGTCTTTTTTCCTTGTCATTTTTCTTTGCACTAATCATGATCCTTTATAATTTTAATCAAAATTTAAAAATAAAATTTCAATAGCCAGTTTTGCTTCAAGTTCTCAAGTTTGAATATGATCATTTTCTTCCCCGTGTTAGGGTTCTCAATAATATCACTGACAGCTTTCACAATACCAATGATATCTGCTTTCCGAAATATGTTCGAGTAAAAAATATTAAAAGCAAATCGAGTATAACTTTCTAATATAATAGAGTTTGAAGGTTTGGTTCACCTATTATGTAGTCGTGGTCATTTTTGCGATCATTGATATCAACAAAGAATACAAAATCGAACAATATCATTGGGATATCGGGTTCATCAACCAGCTTTAAGCTCGTGTTCCGGTAAAAGATAATTTTACACTGGTGTTTGGTATGCCTATATCCGCCATAATTACCAGGAACATCGTAGTTTGATACGGTCATAGTCTCTCCTTCATTATCCAGAAGTTGCTCAGTGAACATGTCGAGCAATGATTGTTTCACCGTACCCCGTATTTTAGAACCCTATAAAAGTAAAAAAAAAAAAATTAAAAAGAAAACATCATCATTAATTAACCAAATGCGTGAAATATATAAATAAAATTTAGCATAAAACATATGATGTGGTTTATTTATGTCAGAGTTAGTATTTTATATACCTTAGAATCAACAAACACAATTTCGATGGTATTATAGTCAGGTTGTTGCCAAACCCTCATTAAACACTTCGTAATAGGTAGATTCTTCCCTTTTGCCTTAATGTCAGTTACGAATTGTTTAAGCGGAGCCATGGATGAATTATATATTCTAAGAACACTGTTTGTTAATGACTAAACGAAAATAAAATATATTAACAAGGTGTGTTGATATAAATGCACACAAGTACAAACAAATATTAATAATTGAAAAGAGGTAAACATCGTAAATGAACATAGCTTAGAAATTAGAATATATCATTCAACCAAGAACAAAGTCTTTGTTTGAAAAATTACAAAATGAAACAGAAATGGATGCAATTTAGTTTTTAAAAGCCATTTAGTAAAAAATGTGCTTCATAAAAATTGTTAAAATTATTAGTAATTGTAAAAGTGGGACATCATTTGAACATAATTTGCTATTATCTAGCAAACCATGTATCGGGATAGGGCTAGTTTTTAGTTACGAAGAAGTGAACATAACATACAAATTAGATTTTGCAAGTTACGTTTTGGGAAGAAATTTATACAATATAAACATAACTTACAAATCATATTTTGCAAGTTATGTTTTGAGATAATTTACACAAGTGAACAAAACTTGCAAATTAGATTTTGCAAGTCACATTTTGGGAGAATTTACACAATTTAAACATAACTTGCAAATTATATTTTGCAAGCCATGTTTTGATATAATTTATACAAGTGGACATTACTTGCAAATTAAATTTTGCAAGCCACATTTCGGGAGACTTTACGCAATTGAAACACAACTTACAAATTATATTTTGCAAGCCATGTTTTGAGATAATTTACACAAGTGAACATAAATTGTAAATTAGATTTTGCAAGTCACGTTTTGGGAGAATTTACACAATTTAAACATAACTTGCAAATTATATTTTGCAAGCTATGTTTTGATACACAAGTGAATATAACTAGTAAATTAGATTTTGCCAGCCATATTTTGGGAGAATTTACACAATTTAAACATAACTTGCAAATTATATTTTGCAAGCCATGTTTTGATATAATTTACACAAGTGAACATAACTTGCAAATTAGATTTTGCAAGCCATGTTTTGGAAAAATTTACATAATATAAACAAAAGAATTAGTGGCCATACCGATGATATTCGGTGGCCATTTGTATTGACTTCAGCCAAGACAATTTTTTTTTTTAGAAGAACGATATTGAAACATAGAGGGCGCAAAAAAATATTGTAAATTTCAAAGAATATAATTGTAATCTATACCAAGCAGAGAATGAGAAGAACAATACGGTGGACGGATGTGTATAAGAGGGGGGGGGGGAGGGGTTTAAATAGTAGTCCTAACATTATTACTTTAAATCAATCAATAAATGTATAATCAATAATTTGTAATCATTTATTTTTTTTTAAATCAAATATGTAAGGAATAAGTGTCCACATTCAATCTGCATAGCATTCACTAATTATTTTGAAGATGATTCTAAAAAATCTTTCAAATCTCTCTCAAATCAAAGTATAAATGAGTAATAATTTGTGATACTTTCTTAATTTATCCAAATCAAAATTAATGACTCCAAATCAAAATTAATGCGTTGAACTTTTTTTACTAAAAGATTTTTGGCGGAAAATAAGTTAGCAGAAACTTGACACGTGTACTTTTTTCCGCAAACTTATTTAGCTTTAATATAATATATATAGATAGATATATAGATTATATAATGGACTATATCATCATCAATGGCCGCATATTTTCTTTTTTTCTTTTTTCTTTTTTCTTTTTCTATGATGAAGTAAGTATATAGATTATTATGCTGAAGTCCCTTCCAATTTGAGCTCACCTTAATTCATGTTGGAGGGAAACCGGTTTTGGACATGCATTGCAATTCTTATTTTAGGATAGGGAGTATATTATCTTGCAATAGAGATTTTTCACATTACGTTTGATTTTGAGGTCCCCATAAATCTAAGAGTCCATTGTGTACTTCTGTTAATAACCGCACTTATAAGATACCTGAAAATTAAGTTCAGCAAAGTGGGATAAGTTTTGGCTTTGATCGGGTAAATTTCCCATGGAATATTATGGATGGTTATATATTTTTGAAAGTTTACCAATTGGTTGTAGGAAAGAAATTTGCGGAATTGCTCGAGTACTAAAGAATTGAGAAATGTTTTCTGTTTTCAGATCGCTTGAAATTGTTTCAATTCGGAGAATTCAGATGTGGCTAACAAGTAGGAAATGCATAAAATGTTCAATGATTATTACATTGAAGTTTCCGATATATAGGAGTTTATGGGGTTGTACTTTGTTCACTATAGAACTGAAAAAATGCATCAGCCAGCATCTTCCCGACCTGAACCTCGGACTCAGCCGTGAGATGGAGATCGTCCGATTTCAGTTGCAAGCCCTTGGCGTCTATACATCGTACATTAGGAAGCTTGAATCCCAGTTGAGCTTGCCTTATAGTGTCGATTAATGTCCCTTCCGCCGATGTCACCGCCACCTAAATCACCAATAATGCCCATTCATTAGTATGAATAAATTAGTCCAGCGAATCCAACGGCGTGACAAGGCAAAAAGTTTTGACAATTAATTACCTGAATGATGGGAAGCGATGGCAAACGCAAGTCAGCGCGCACATTGGTAAAAAATGTTTCAAGATTTCTTCCGTAAGACAAGGCATCCTCTTGAATCTTAGTGTCACTTTCACCTTGAAACCATAACATAGCCCTGATGATTCCCCCGCTTTTTACTGCGGCGCTTGCTCGATTAACTAGCTGGTTGTATAAGAATTTACCACGCCTCCATTCGGTTATGTTTGTCCCCCCAACAGCGCAAGGTACTAAACCGATGGTTCCGAAACTGGGGTCTTTGTTTAGCACACCATTAGCAAATGGCATGCCTGGCCCAACTCCAGCGGTTTTATTCACGTCAATATCTTTGTGTAATGGATCTCTTGCTTCCTCCCAGGTGAGGTTAGCCGAAAGCCGGAGAATAGACGGGTTTGGCCGGCACTCTGGCAGAACAATCCCGTCCCAGACGCCCCCATGGACGCCTCCTCGGCCAGCCATGTTGCTTTGTCCAGCTAAGATGAATATGTTTGTTGGTGAGTTCGTTGGATGAGCATGCAATTGGCTTATCATTGCCAAGAGCAACAAGAGAGATCCAATCATTACTGCCATAATATTTAGTCTGAGGCTTACTCTTTTGTTAGTTGTTCCTTGTCGAGATATATCCGTAGATCTTCATTTCCATAATCCATCTGCGTTTCATGAATTTCCTTTACCGAATCATAGACACGTGGACAATCCAAGACCTCAATCATCTGAAGGGTTGAACTTTGAGCTATACAAGAAGGGATTTCCTTTAAGCGATTGCAGGCTGCCAGTATCAATGTCTCAATAGATGGGAAGTCGTCATCCGAAGCCGTTGTCCATCTCTCCAAACTGGGTATGTAACATAATTCCAACACTCTGAGTTTGGGGAATGTGCCTTCTTCTTCAATGTCCCAATTTTCCCCCTCGTATTCATTCCCATCCAATCGGAGAGCTTCAAGATTTGGTAGCCTTCCAATAGCTGAAACTTCACTCCACGGAAGGCAAGTTGAATCCAGATATAGATCCTTTAGATTCTGGGGAAATCGAAATTGAAAAAGGTTCCTCCCACGAGTGATGTCGAGTGATTCGAGTTGATTCAAAGTGATGAAATCCACAGTGCACTCTCCTCCACCCAGATCGAGACGACATCGTAGTGTCCGGAGATTTGGTAACTTCTTCAATACTCCCACCATCGTTTGGCTGCAGGTGAATGATACAGTCGAGAAAGTCTGCAAATTCTCCAAATTGGCTACGGGAATCTCTGATGGCAATACAAACTCCAAAGCTCCTTCCAGATGCCTTAATTTTTTCATACCCCACAAAGTATCCGGCAACAAAACTCTCCCACCAGAATAAACAATCAAAGTCTCCAAATCTGAGAGATTGAGAATTGACGATGGGATGATTATTTCTGAAAAAGATGCGAAAGCCAAGTATTTCAACTGGACAAGTAGTAGAATCACACATGGAAATATATCAAACTTAAATTCTCGGCTTAAGACCAAAACTCTTATAAGCTTGAACTGGAAAAACTTGTATAGAGATGTTGTTAGACGAGGATAGAGGACTTCGGGTTTTTTAACGAACAACATTGTGCGTAGATGAGGATAGAGGGACCTCGGTTCTGAGAATATCTCTGGTCCTCTGAAATCAATAGTTAACCTGTACGGCTGGCTAGCCTCAACACAACCATTAAGCTCGTGACCATGTAGCCGATGCATAAAGTGTTCTTCTTTGCTTCTTGCTATGGCGAAATCGCGTAGCAAGTCATGAAGGACACACTGTTGCATCTGACCTCGGTGATCTCTTTCTGCAACCATCACTAGATTTCTCTGTACCAACTCCATCATGTAACCCTCTGCAATATCCTCTAAGCACTCTCTTCCTGCAGTTTCCTGCACGAATCCTTCTGCAATCCATAGCCCTAAAATCTGGTGAACATATATTGATTCGTCCTCTTCAAACGCTCCCAGATATAGAAAGCATGGTTTCAAATGGTTTGGCAAATGTCGATAACTCAACTCAAGAGTCTCCTTGCACTGATCTGCAGCCATTGCAGTACCTGTTTTTAGCATTTCTTCAACTTCTTCCCACTTACTTGGCTCTGTATTAGCGAGAAATCCTGCAACAATTAAAATCATCAGCGGCAATCCCTTGCAGGATTTTGCTATTGTCTTGGCACGAGCAATTACTTCTTCCGATGGACAACTTTGGTCAAAGCACATCTTCTTCCGAAATAATTCCCAACTCTCATCATGATTTAGTGCACGAAGACGGTGAGGTTCAGAGTGTGGATTGATTTCCAAACCAATAGTCTCCTGTCGACTGGTTAGGAGAATTCTGCTACCCTTATCATCGTCTGGGAATGACATTTTCAAACTATTCCATACTTGAGTATCCCAAATATCATCCAAGATCATAAGATACCTGATTCCCTTCAACCATTTACGGAGTCTTTCAGCCAAATCATCTTCCCTCATATTTATATACTCTCCAGTTGAATTTTGGTCCAGACCGCTTAAAATCCCAATCAACAAACTTTTTGTGTTGTATTCTTGAGACACGGTGACCCAAGAGCGAACCTGGAAGTGATGAGAGATGTGGGAATGATGATAAACTTTCTTGGCCAAACTAGTTTTACCTAATCCGGCCATGCCCACAATCGAAACCACATCTAACTGTTTTGTCCCTCTAGTGAGTCTATCGATGATGATTTTTGCCTCGTCATCCAAGCCCACCACTCTGTCATTGGAATCTGGGATCTTACCAACTGCTAGTGCCATCTTAAGGTTAGCTTGACTAATCTTTTGAACTGCAATGGTTGGCTCCATACTCCAAGGAATCTCCGAGACCTGAGTCTTAATAAGCTCAATCTCTGTTATGATAACATCAAGCTGCACGATAAGGCTCGTCCGGAGTGGTTTACCAGCAACAACCAAAGAATCAAGTACAAACTCCGTGTCATAAGCTACCGTTGCAATGCGACTCGAGAGATCTTGGATCGTCATCCCATTATCATGGACTACAAAAGATCTTAAAACTGTAAGATCATCGTGGAGGGCTCGGAACTTATCCTTTTCTGAAGAAACTTGAATCACGAATGACTTTATTTTTTCCAAGACAGAGTCAATAAAACCCAACAAGTTTGTTTGGGGATATGCTGATGTTGGTGGAAACCTTGGCGCATCTTCTTCTGCAGCCTTGAGAATTTGGGGTTTTGTCTCGAAATTGGAAAAAAGGAGCTCTAATTTTGCAATCAACCTTCCTCTTTGTTCTCCATTTTCTTGATAGAGATGAAAAATTAGGATGCCTGCCTCACAAATCAAAGGTCTAATGAGGTCATCAAGCTTGTCATGGTGCTCTGATAGAGTGGTTCTCAAGAATGAGAGTCCCTCATGCACTTTATGCATTTCGTGGTGAAACATGTCCACAAAAATGCAATCACGGAAGAAAAGGTTCAAAATCAGAAAAATGAGAGAATCCACTAAGTCTCTAAACACCAAAGCATGAGTTTCTTTAGTGGGATGGAAGGAGGACCCTGAAAACTTTGAAACATCTTGCAAGACACCAACATAAATCTCACAAACACGCGACTCAACTGGCTCAATTTTTCTCAGAAGTTCACCATGAGAATTTGCGAAAAGATAACGCTGTATAACGCAAACATGAAAAAGTAGGACTTGAGATTGAATAAATACACGTTCAAAGTGAGAGAAGAGATCTTCGATGATCTGCCTATCCTCAAGTCCGTGAAGCGTAGCAAAGCGAATGAAGTTCTTCATGAACGTTACGGTTTCATGAAGAGTGTGAGATTCAAGACTCTGAAAAGTGTGAAGAATGAAGTCGACGCTGTCCAGCAGTTGCTTCACATCTGTTCGAGAAGAAGATCTTGTTTGCAATGTGAGATCTGTCCCCATGATTCGGACCAATTCCTCAATTCCTGGTTTCACCGATCCAATAATTCTCCAAAGAAAATTTTTAAGCACATCATACCATCCCTCCGAATCAGCATCCCATCTCTCATCAGAATCATCAACCCTCAGCAATTTCTCCTTCAACGTGAGACAAAGAAACAGAATTTCCAGGGAATGTCTGTGAAGAGTGTCCTCCACTGTACACACAGCAGTTTCCCAGCCCACATCTTGTTCATCGCCCCACTTTCTTCCCCACAAATAAAACCATCTCCCCCATTCCAACAACTGCCGCAGACGATTAAGTTCCCAATCTGGGAATAAATCAGAAAATTTTTGGCTGATGGACTGGAGCTCATCTAAGGCATCTTGAACAATAGACTCTCTGGAATACATCTCTGTAACTGCCAAAAAGAATTTCCTTTTTTGTTTAGGAAATGGGGAGATCTTCTGAAAAATGAAGAAACAAAGTTAAATTAGACTTTGCATTTTTAATAATTTTGAGACGACAAAATGTATGTACTGTTTTGCGAACTCACTTATTTGAGAAGGTAATACTCTTTTAAACTCATATATGGGACCTTGTAAATATTGCTAAAGCTCCATCAAACCTACGAACAGTAATCCTGTAGAACCGCCTGAGCTAAGAAGCATATAATTTTTTTTTTTTAAAAAAAAAAAAGAAAAACAAAAGATTCATACCTTTGTTGATAGACTCTTAAGTGATTGTGATTGACCAAATCGCTAATCTTCTCCTTTTCGGCCTTCTAATTTCCAACGGAAACTTGATCGGCCCCCAAGATCTAAATAACTTCGCAGAAGTCAACGCAGATTCTTGATCCAATTAATTAAGAAAGTTTTTTCGAAAAAAAAAACAAGGAATTCTTGGGGGTAGAGAGGGACTTGAGAGAAGAAAAAATATCAAAAGATAACTGGTCGTACTGAAACTTAAGACTTCAGATCAAAACAGAGAGTTGAGAGATGAGGAAATGAAAATTTCAGAAGAGAAATGAAGTTGAGAGCAAGAAGACTAATTAAGCATTATCTTTCATGAAGACAGAACCTTAATTAAAATTACAATACTTTGCCATTAGCTTTGTACTACTAGTGCTATTATTTATTTATTATGTTTACTTTTTCTTTGAAACAGTACACCTATTACTACTATTAGATTATTGACATTAAGCAGACTTGGCCAAAAGTAGTTGCCTGGAAACCGGGATTAAGCTTTACCGAAATTGATATAATAATGCAACTAATAATAAGGTAATAATACAATAATTACATCTTAAAAAATTCTACAAAGTCTCTTTAAATTGCAAAAAGATCTTTGCCTTAGCAATAGTGAGATCTGAACTCAAAACTCGAGCCAATTTGCATTGCTGCTCTAATTTTTTTTTTCTTTTTTGGAAATCACAAACTCCAAAGAACTCTTTATTTCAATTTTATTTATTTATTTGTTTAGTTATTAGTATTTTATTTTATTTTTTGGTGCAAACATTAACTCAAGACTCAAGGTTGTTTTTGTGTTTGCAAAACTTTTTAGGGTAAAACTCAGCATTGGTCCCCAAACTTTAGGGGTAACTCAGGTGAGTCATCAAAAAATTTTCTTCAACGGTTTTAGTCACCATTTTTAGTGTTATTCAACACTATAGTCCATTTGAAGGGAGAATACATTAAGTTAAGGTGAATGACCAAAATCCGTTTGTAACGCCCCAATCTGGCCCCCTTTATATTCTATAAAAATGAAGTCAAGATTGAATACCTGCCCAACTCTCGTCAGGTCTCAGTAATAGTTTCAAACATGTACTGAAGAGCAAAAACTTAAGGCATTATCATGCAATAAGTTAAAATTTGGTAATTGATATGAAAGAGTGTTACATATCTTGTTCCAACGTTCTCGAATACAATGTTCTACATTTTTTTAACTAAGCACCTATAATACAAATTTACAACTAAATCTCAATCTTCTGTGATACATTAACCTGCCTGTCACACAAACGGTACACCAACCAACATGTTCTCATTCCTGGAATGTATAAAAATATACGTTTGGGGTGAGCGTATGCTCAGTGGGGTCACACCGGTGATTAATCTAGGTGACCACATAAATCAAACAAGTTTCCATATAAGGCAAATAAGGCAGATTGCATGATATAGATGGATTAACAGTCCGAAGAGAAGCATAACTATATCGGGCATAACTCGCTACTTCAAACTAGAAACAAGACAACAGACGGTGGATACAAATGAGTAGATAGAGTTGGTCATGCCCATGTAGGAAAAGTTGGGCATTACAGAAACAACTTCTAGCTGGTCTCACAATTTGTCACGAGGTCATTAGTTAGAGAGTGTGCATCGACAACCAATGCCCCAACATTCATTCATTGATGATATATCTCGAGATAACCAACCTCCTAGTAGTAATATCCAATACGTCCTGGCCCTATGCCGACACGTAAGGATTTACCTTGAACTAGAAGGGTGCATAGATCCATGACTAACCATTGATAGCATGCACACATTCAAGCAAGACTCAATGTACACGTACGGTACTCAGTTTACATTGTACAGCACAAGCGATAGAGTACATATGGCCGCAAGCAAAGTCAAGCAATAAAGGTCAAACATCAGGCATAGTTACAATCAAGCAAATCACCTGTCGAGTCAGAGATCGACAGTATATATTCAAGTTATTCAATTACCCAGCGTGATAAAGTACACACATGGGACAAACATGATATGCAATATTTTCAATCAAGATTGACTGAACAAACAGTAGACATGCATCCTGGTTTCATGCAATTATCCTAATTAATTATCATGCAATTATATTTATAAATACAGTGAGATTACTCACCTTGGTGTTCTCATGTCCACAAGTTTAGCATCAGAATCAATATCCTATATCAACTCGCCCTGTCATGTTTCCCATAATCAGTTTTTTTTTTTTTTTTTTTAGTAGTAGAAACAATTCTAGTAGAAACAATTCTATGCACTCTAAGACCGTCTAACGTTATTAAAGCAGTTTCCACGATTCACATCTAACATTTTTAGTGTTTATTCAAGTTCAAGAAATTTTAGTTATAGTTGCTGCCTAATCAGTTTACTAAGATTGTGGTTCAGCCTGCCTACCTCTCTCAAAGTAATATCACAAACCATAGCATCGACGACAGCAAATTAATATAGCTACCTACCGCATCAATTTTATCGAACCCAACTCCAACTTCAACTTCATTTAAAATATAGGAAGCTGATATCCCAATTCAAAAGGAACAGATTAAACCCCTCGCTATAGATATCGGAAGTTAAATCCCCAAGTATGGTAGCTTTTTACTTCACAATTACGTTCTAAGTTTCAAATTAAAACTCCCCTTTTTTTTTTTCCTTTAATCCAAAACCAAACGAGAATAATATATAGTTTAATTTTAAAATCTCAAACCCAAAAGAGTGAAGTGAAACCTGTTGATTTGAGGCAATAAGAATCATAGTCGATTCCGCGGCATCAACAAAACTTCAACGCTAATCTCCTTCCCCTTTGTTTTTTTATTCCCCAGTCTTCCACTCTTCGAGCTTCGCCTGACCAGGCCCCTTCGATGAAAGGGGGAAAAAAAAAAAAAAGAATTGATGAAAGGATGACGATGACTATGATGATGCTTCTGGAGGAGGAGTTAGGCAACTTGAACGTTTCCTCCATTCCTTTAATTCATTTTATTTTAGTTCAGTTGGAAGCTAAAAGAAACATGGAGAAAATGGGGCTGTTTTGGTTCGTGGAAAATGGGTTTGGCAGAAGGATGTTCTTTTTAAGAGAATGGATCGGTGAGTGAAAGATTTAATTAAAAGAAAATGGGGTCAAATTGGTTCAGCAAACAAAGTTGAAAATATAGCCATTTTGAGGGTTTTTTTTTTTTTTTTTCTAATGGAAGTGCGTAGGTTCTGGAGATATTTTAAGTAGGAATTAATTTTTAAATGAGTTGAACTCTATCCCTTCATTTTGAGTCGGTTAACAAAGAGGTTGGGAAATGAATTTTCTTTTTTGAAAATATGTTTCGGGTAGTATTTGTGTTTGTTAAACTGATGGAATTGATTTAATTCCCTCAAGGTTTAAAGAGTTGGGCACATGTTTCTTCCAAAATTTACTTAAATAACTTTAGTAACCAATATTAATTTGTTTGATGATTTATTTAACTTTACATTTGTTGACGCACATACACAAGAGTTGTATCTTTCTATTTGTACTTGTTAGAGGAGTGACAATTGGCGGTCTTCACACACTGATGTGGGTCCCATAATTTTTTACTTGTATTTAATTATTCAAAAAACAAAAATCCAAAACAAATAAGTCAAAGAAAAAAAAAAAACCTTCCCTTTCAACACCCCCACCCTGCTGCCGGCACCGCCACCACCACCCAGTTGTTCATCCTCCCCTCCCACCTTTTCCATTTCATCCTTTTTAATTCATCTCCCATTATCCACATACAATTTCCATCCGATTTACAAAATCCTCTTGTTTCATGATTTCAAGCAGGAACGCCTATAAGGATCCACCATAAAAGGGTCTAAGTTGAGCCATAGTTCTTTCACAAATTGATTTCCTTCTTTGGCTACAAATTTACTGCTGTTAATTTGAATTCCTCACATCTTAATATTGGAGCAGGAAAAGGAACAATAATTCATTAATTTGGGTTCTCTTTCTTCTTCATGGAATACAAGGGGGAAAAAGAAAGATGGAGGCAACTGGTGGAATGGTTGAGGAATCATTTGGTTCGGATTTGCCATGATTCTAAGGAGTATAAATTACTGGGTTTTTTTTATTTCTTGAAATTCAATTTCTTTTGATTGGATTTGAATAAGGACATTGATGTGTGAATTTCGTAGCTAGAGATTGAATTTTGGTAACGCAATTTGAGTTGTTTGGTAATAAGGAGATTTGACTTGCTTGATTTTTTCTTCTATCTCAGCCAAGATCATCACCAATTTGCAGAATTTTCCTACCATGTTGATTCCCATAGTAGCAGTATCCATAACAAGAAACAACAATAGATATTGCAGGGAGAATTTCGTGATCAATTGGCTATGCTTCTCCATCAGATGCAATGCTTTGCTAGTGGAAAGGATCATTGAAATATTGTATGAGGATGAACTAGTAGGCGGTGGTGGTGGTGCCGACGGTGGGGTGTGAGGAAGAGGAAGACGAAAGCCGTCAGAGGTGGTTTGGACTTTGGAGGAAAAACTCAAAATAAATAAATAAATAAAATATTAGTGGGTCCATTATTGATGAAATATTAATAAAATATTAAATAATTGACGGATCTTTTAATTCACCGTTAAAGTTAATGAATTTCCCGTCAAATATACAGAGTTGTTGAATAAACTTAAACTTGAGGACTAAAATCGTTGAAGAAAATTTTATGGTGACCGACATGAGTTACCCCCAAACTTTGGGGACCAATACTGAGTTTTGCCCAACTTTTTAAGTACATATAGCTAAATCAATCTTAATTGACAAAAGCAAGTAATAAAAGCTGATTCTTTCTTTCAAAAATAGTTCTATACCTTATGATACATTTTAAAGGCAAAACAATCAATAAACATCAATAATTAATTTCGATCATCTTGAGTGATTTCGATTCTTTTCATTCCTTAAAAAATTTAATTAATTCATTCTTGGGACTTCAAGCAGCAGATAAGCCACAATATTGAACAGATTCATGCTGCAATAAGCAGCAAATTTGGATATCTTTCACTATGGATTATAATTCTGGGAGTTGTTGGCTACCAGAGTAGAAATTTGTTATATTCTGGACTGGAGTCATTGTATCCGCTCTCCAATCATCTGCTGTGAATCTAGGAAAACGAAAAGTTTGATTTTGTGGAAGTTATAACGAAAGAGACGGATAAGTAGAGGTTTGAATCAATTGGACCATTCAATGGTAATATGGAAAAAGTAATTTTGTAATTTTTTGCTCCGGATCCTAATTTATGTCCTAGCAAAATCAATGGACAAAATTTATATAGATGTTTGGGAAACGTTTAGGATTATAGCATAAAAGATCCTTAGACTATTGGAAGATTCAAATTGTTGAATCAGGATAATATTAAATTGCTTTTCTTTTTCTAATAGAACATTATGAATGGAACATTACGCTTTTTGGATTAAAGGACCAGCTGAAGATGAAATACAGGTTTGTATATACTCGCGTAGTTGGGACAATTGGTTACTTTGACTCAAAATATCTTAGTATAAGCGATTTCATTTTTGTCCCATTCGATTTCTTATGTTCTTCAGAGATTTTTTTTTTTGAAAGTAATTTTTTTTTTCCTTTTTTTGGTCATGACAATATAATCTAGTGAAGCAGCCTTTATTCTCTCCACTATTTGGAGTTGGTTGTGTGTGTATATGGTTCATAACTCCACATTCACCAAGATTGTACAATTTTTGGACTTGTTTCGTGTTTCTTGTCGGTCGTTTCAAGCCTAAAAGTTATTTTTACAGCTATGGCGTAGTCCCTAGTCTATTGGGCAATGACCTTGACCCAGCACAAGAAGAAACTGGTTAGCATTGTAGATCCAAGATTAGAAGCAGTGGCGAAGAGAATTAAATAATATTTCAACGGTATTTGATAATTATTATTTCTTTTCAATCATTAAGAACATGTTTTATACAAATCATGCAGCACAACAGTTTTGCAAGTTTTTCACTCTGGTTAAGTAGTTATAATTTTAAAAAATCAATTTTTAATTAACAAATATATATATATTTTTTAATAAAAAGAAGTAGATTTGTAGTGTATTTTTAACCCCGATAAGTCATAATGGGCCAAATTTATTAATGAAGACTAAACTTCCCCGCAGCCCAAGCCCATATCCTCTCCTCCTTTCAACATCATTCTGCTTCTGCTCTCCCCATTCTCTACCCTCCTCCGCCGTCGGAAATTTTTATTTTATTCAACTCTAAATTTCACGTTCTCATTATTTGAAAAACTAGGCTGAAATCATTATATGTGAGATAGAGCATCTTAAATAATGCTAACGAATAGAAATCATAGCACATGGTTGTATATAGATCACCTAATCGAAAAAAATTCCAGCATCAACACCCTCTAGTTCGGCATCATAGCACATGGTTGTATATAGATCACCTAGCGTGTTGGTCCAGGAATTAAATATGATTGTGTTTGTAGGATATTTAAAATGCTGAAAGCAAAATGACAAATGTTACTGAAAGATTTTAGTAGCTATTTGTTACTTTCCTCATTGTTAATCGATTTTGGGATGCAAACACAAAGAGATTTATACGGACACCCAAGAGAATTTATACTAAATTTAATATTAATTTCTGTAGCTTTATATACAAAATATTCTGTAACTTCAAATTCAATTGATCAGTTAATTTATCGATAAGTTACATGGTGTTTTACTTATATATATATATATTTATGTATCAAATGAAAATTATTATAAAATAAAGAGTTAGTTTTTCTTCATAGGTATAATTTTGGAAGCTTCAATATTCATTCCTATACATAAAGTAAATTAGAGTAAACTCACGAATGGTCGTATTCTGACAGCTGATCAAGAGTTGACTAATATACAATAAAAAAAAATAAGCACCAAGAGAATTAAACATATATGTAAGAAAGATGCGTGGACTGCCATGAGTTAATTTATTGAAGCTTGTGTTCTTAGGAACGAGCACTTCAATCGCTATTGCATTAAAAAAGAAAAAAAAATTGTCTGAATTATATCCATCCATTCACAGGGACCATTGAATAACGTTCAAGAATCTACCATCTAGTTTTCTTTATAAGTTTTTTTTTTTTTTTAAGTTCATTTGTTGGATGTAGAAGTCAGACCAATTAAGTTTTGGAACAGAAATATGCTTTCATAGGAACGTTACAAAGCATGATGATATTTCCTATTTTGTCATTATTTGGAGTAGAAACAAAGTGTATTCTTAAATTCTCATTTCGAATCTTTAGTCCACAAAAAATATCAATCCTTTGGTAAAATTTATTAGTTTGAAATGTTGTTCTAAATAGTTACCAGTAAATTAAAACAATGTTTTACGAAAATGCGTAGTCCAAGAAATTCAAAAAGATTAATGTTTTCCATCCACGCGAGGTTCTTTATTTCTCAATCCAGCACATCCAATACCACCATTTACTTTTAGAGAAGGCACACCATGCATGTGGCATCTCTCAAATTCTCTGTAATTATATAACTTATGAATTAGTATGTTGTGCTTTCTCGTGCTAGACCCGGGTTCAATTCCCATTAAAGGATTTGTAAGAGGGGTTTTACTCACATTTAAATGGAGTCCACTGAGGTGGATTTTTTTTAATAAAAAAACCTGATGTATTAGTGTTGCTTAAGTTTTTTTATTTTGTTTTGTTTTTTTTTTTTAAGTAGTGAAAACTACTTTATTTTCCAAACATATGGAAATTGACTTTGATCCAATACAACTAGACCTTTTATACGATTAGGCAAGTCATCATGAGAATACTGTGTAGTGGTTCAGAGCGAACTTGCGAGTTTAGCGAGATCATTTGCTACTGTGTTTGTTTCTCTATACACATGCCGAACGGTGACTTTTATATTTTGTGCCAAAAGCCATATTTTTTTGAGAGAATGCTTTGATCGCCATGGCCAACTTGTTGGATTCGCTAGGATGTTGACTACAGTTTTCGAATCCGTTTCTGCTTCAATTTGAGTAAATCTAAGGCTTTGGCAAAGTTGCATACCTCTCAGGAGAGCTTCAACTTCAGCTTGAAAATTAGAGGCAGTGCCAATAAATTTTGCTTCAGTTAGAATAACTTTTCCTTGAACCACAGCCTGCATCACCTGGATTGCCAATTGAGGACCCATCAACGTTGATCTTTATTCCATTAGTTGGAAGGGTCCAAGTCAAAAATAATGGGGTACTCTTTCTTGCTTCTTTTGCAAAAGGAATGAGTCCTGCAGTTACAAAGCTTGAATCCTTAGCTGAGGATGCTTTAAAAGGCACCGCTTTTTGCCATAATGTGTAGATCTTGGACAATAAGCTTCACTGCAATGTGTGGAGAGATTATTGTTGACTCAAAAATAGCTTTATTCCTACATTTCCACAGCTGCCAACAAATGAAGAGGGAGGAGAATCTGTAGCTTCCAAGTCAGCTTTGAAGATTGTCTTCTTGTCCACCATGTAGATGAAAGATCATCAAAATCCAAAATTTCATTGTTTGCAAAGACCATAATCGCTCCAAAATGTCTCCAAATGTGTTTAGCATAAGAACATTCAAAGAAGTTATGCCGAATGCTTTCAACATGATTCCTGCATAAAGAACACACAGAGGGAATATTCAGTCCTGTTTTCATTAAAACATCAGCAAAAGGAAGTAACTTGTTGTGCAATCGCCACATGAAGATCGAATCTTCAGCTGAAGCCTTTTGTCCCATATATAAGTGCATTGTCCGCAGGTGATTGAATGCTGATTTGAGAGAGAATTTTCCAAGAGTATCATGCTGCCAAATCCAGTCATCAACTTCATTTGATAGTGTAACATCTTTACTCTCTATTTCATTGATGTCATCCTAGAGTAGGATTCCTTGTAGTGAGTCCAGATTCCAAGCTTCATTATCAATCAAGTCTCTAACCAGCAGATTAGAATTATTCCCAAGTTCTTCATCATATTTAACAGAAAGGCAACCTGTGCCAAGTCAATCATGCTTTCAAAAATTTGCATCACCATTTTTTATCTCAACAAAGGTGTTATTTCTCATGTATTTTCCCCATGGCTTCAACCTGGAGTGAAAAACCGAGGATCAACTCCTTTCTTCCTCTTCTTAATAAAGGATGCCCAAATACCCGTTTTGACAAGTGCTTCCACCACATTTTGCATGAAAAGGCATCAAGCACATCACTAAGAGACCTAGTGCCAAGTCCATTTTCTTTCGTAGGATATGCCATCTTTTACCAACTTCGCCAAATTCTTCGTTGTTGTTTAAGGATGGCTTTGGGTGGTTTGAAAGCTGAAAAAACATATGGCATATATGAGGATAACACATGTTTAATTAGAATTAACTTACCTCCGGGGGACAAAACTCTGCTTTTCCAACCAAATATCTTAGCATCAATTTTGGACAAGAGACCATTAAAGTATTCCTTTTTGCATCTTCCCTTAAATAGAGTACCCCCAAGATAGTTAGAGGGAAACTACCACAGGAGATTCCAGTAATGGCAGAGACAGCAGCAACGTTTTCTTGAGAAGCTTCCTTGGAAATTATGAAGGTGCTTTTGGATTTGTTAATTTTTTCCTGTGCTTTCTTCATATAGTTTGAGGAAGTCCATAAGACTTTTCAATGAATTACGATCAGCTTTCATGAATATCACCAAATCATCGGCAAAACTTAAATGACTGTTGGACAGAGATGATCTCAAAGAGTGATATGGTTGAATAGATCCTGCATCAATGATAGCATGAAGACCTCTAGGGAAGGCCTCAGTGAGTAAGATAAACAAGTAGGGGGACAGAGGATCCCCTTGCTTGAGGCCCCGAGATGGTTTAAAGAATTGAAATGGCTTACCATTGATGAGAACAGAATTCCAACAACTTGTAAGATTATTCTTGATTAAATCAATGAATCTATCATGAAAACCAAGTTTTGCAAGAAGTAGACTTATAAAATGCCATGACACTCTATCGAATGCTTTCATCATATCAAATTTGAAAAATATATTATCACCTCTAGTTGTTTTGTCAATGGACTGTCCTAGTTCTTGAGCCAGTAAAAGATTGTTAGAGATATCTCTATTCGGTAAAAATGCGGATTGTTCTTCAGAAATTAAAGTTTTCAAAAGAGGCTTTACCTTATCAGCAATGATTTTGGTAAAGATTTTATTTACAAAAAGTACATAAACTAATAGGTCTTTAATTTGAGAAAGTAGAAGGGCTAGTAACCTTAGGGATCAAAGCTACAAGTGTACTAGAAAAATACCTGGGTATTGGAAATCCCACAAAAAGTTCTTGAACAGCTTTGAATACATCACTTCCCACGACTTCCCTACAATGCTGAAAAAATACTCCAGAGAATCCATCATTTCCGGCTGTACTTTCTCTGCTTAAGTCGAAAACAGCTTTATGAACCTCTTCGAAAGTGACAGGTCGAAGTAAAGTCATATTTTGGTATGGGGTCACTAGTTCAGGAACGGTGGACAAGAGTAATTTCAATGATTCCTCATTTGTGTCCCCTTAATCGGTGAGCAGCTCTTGGAAGAAAATAGAAGCATGAGAAGCAATGTCCTCTGGAGAAGATATCAAGTTACCAAGAGCAAATATCCCATATCCTTGGATAGGTTTCGACCAACAATTCTGGACAATCGTCAGGAAGTCTTCCCTTTTGGTCCACATATTCTGGAATCTAAAAGCTTTAGGGCCATTTGACGTGAGCTCAGAAACTTCATAAAGAAGTGGATTGTGGACAGATGGGCTTCTTGCTAATTTTTGAAGAGTTGATTGTTGAAAAGTGTGAAGCCAAGATGGATTGCAAAGAATTCTGTCAAGCCTTTTCCAGATTCTTCCACTTTCTCGGATTCCCGTCCATGTAAAAATTACCACCAACCAATAGTACATCCGTGAGAGCGCAATCTGTTATACACTCATTAAACTCGTCGATAGCTGTCAAGTCTTGTTGAGCCTTTCCACTATATTCTTCTAGCTTTCTGATTACATTAAAATCTCCACAAACCAGCCAAGGTTTGTCATCGAGTTGCTCAGAGATGGTCCTCATCTCATTCCACAAGTTTCGTCGTTCGTTCAATCTTGTTACATTTAGCATATACCAGGGAAATAACTGACTCAAAGGAACCTAAATATGTTAGTCTTAAACTTAACATTTGACATTTCCACCATAAGGCCTGTTTGACTCATCTCGGCTGGAGCATTTGGATGAAAAAGTTGTAGCGTGGATGTATTCTGTTCTTGCCCAGCTAGCCAGCAGCGGTGGAAATCCTCATGGAGGTCAAATTGGATTAGTATATGCATTGAATCCATCAATCCTAAGGTGTAATTCCCTTTGAATGCAATTGTTCAAAATTCTTTTCTGAGGAAATTCATCGATGGCCGTTTGCCGAGAAGCGGCCGACCAATGCCAATTCATAGGTTGAAGATAATTTAGCGATTTCCTCTGGGTTGTAGAATAGCCGGTTCCCCTTTGAAGATAGATCCGGTTCGAACTTCATTGAAAATAGTATCAGTAGCAGTATGTTTTTCGGATTGAGATACTAGAGCTTGTCGATATGAGATGGAGGAAGGCGCAGGCCTACCCTCCGTCGTGGTGGCGGCCATGGGAGGCCAGCAACGGTAAAAAAAAGGTTAAACGACTAGCTGAGGGTGACGTTTCACTATGTTCCCTTATTATATCATATTCTCTCTGTAGAATAGAGTTAGTATTGCTTAAGTTCTACATAACACAGAATTCCCTCTTGTAAATTTTTGTGTCGATTTATATAGATAAAACTATACATATCATGATAGTTTCTAGTCTATTCCAATTTAAAAAAATTAAAATATCAAAATTAGATTACTTAATCATGCAAATTAAAAAGAAAATAATATGAAAAATTGAATAAAGTTTTATGACCATTTATTAATATTATAATCAATTTAGGTTATACCAATTTAATAAATCCAATTTTTTTACATTTACAAAATAGACTATTTTTCTAGAATAGATGTAGTATGATTTATTCTGGAACCTATTCTGTCAGGGGCGTGTCTAACCGTACAAAGACCAAAGAAAGTTGTTGCCGTGATGGTCATTCGCCATTGTGGGTGTGTGGGAGTTAATGACTCCGTCCTCCGGTAGAACATCACAAGTTTGTGAATTCTATTGCTTCAGTTCCATCACACACATCTAAAGAAAATCATTATAATTATCAGGCTGAGCTTCAGATATGGAGTGTGCAATAAGAAATAGGAACTTATGCTAACACTTTAGTTCACGGCACGAAGGTAACACACAAAAAGGAAAGGGATCGACATTGTATTCATGGAAATTAAGTTCATAAATCAAAAACATTAAGAACCTCAGATTATAAGGAAGAACAACCATAACGAAAGCAAAAAAGAGTTCTATATGAACTCCCGTTGCAAGAATTTGTTCATGACGCCATAATTAGGATACAGGTAAATTAAACTAAGAGCCTAAGAAACCATTCATAAGTCATCAAAGCTATCCAAAACCATTCATAAATTAAACTACATTTTTCTGTCTCTCTCATGTCTCTTACATTGCGTCGATTCCCAAGAATCAAGTTACTACCGCATCAACTGCAATATATAGCTTCTTTGATAGAATTATGCATCGTTGAGTGGAAAGTATTAAGGATTCCTCCAGAAAGGACAATGCATGAGATTAACACTGCAAATTAAATGAACAACATGTACATTCACAAGCAACTCCTGGTGAATAGGTTTCCATCAATGTAGTGTTGATATAGATGTGACAGTTAGAGCATCGAAAGTTTTGTAGTATTTGGTAAGACTGAAAATTTTCCTAGTTTATCTTGTTGTGAGGAAGGTTTAGCTGTAGCAACTACCTTATAATCACACACTTTTGGGAAGCTATTGCAGCAAAATCAGTGTTTCAAGCGTCAGTCGTCACCGGAGAACCCTGAAAATTAATAGATGAAACTGATAAGGTTATAGCGATTCCACAAAAACAACATACTCATTGAAACGTAGGTCAGGAAATCAAAAGTCTAACAGGATTTTTGCGAGTTAATGTGCCCCCTTTTGTAATAATTCATCTGTCCTAAAATGGTTATCCTATTTTGATTTTCATTTTTTATATAATTTGAATTAAAAATAAAAATTTAAACTGGATAATCAATTCTGAATGGAAAGAGCATATAAATTAACATTCTCAAATGATTATAAACTCTTTCTCATCCAAAACTATATAGAGTCTTATTTGCTAAATTAACTGTATACAATCATGCAGAACTAGTCTCTCGGAGATAGATATACTACTACTTGTAATATGACTGTATAGAACAAGTACATGATACGATATCCTATGTATTAATTGTTAACCACAAGTTAAAAAACTCGTGTTTTTAAAGCAGCCATGAGCATCAATAGTAAATAACAATTTATATTTATATTTGGAGAAACTTTCTTCTTGATGAAAAGAGATTTACCCGACTCAATTGAAGATTTCTTTAGGTGTATTTGCTTTGAGTTACCTCATAGTTCCTGAAGCAAAAGAAAAAGAAAGATATGTCAAGCTTTTAAGTTCCAAATTAACTTCCGAAATTTTGAACCTCCCTTCCATAATAAGAATTAATTGTTTAAGATAATTTCAGTGACACAATGAATCACTATTAAACAACCCGTGTAAAAAGATTTCAACTTTAAACATTAAAACTACTGCTTTTCATTGACATTCCAACCAGAAAAAGCACATCCAAACATGAAAGGGAAGAAAAAAAGATAGAAAAGAAAACAGCTAGAACAAGAATAAGTAGCAGTGAACATATTCGCCTACCCTATTAAGAGTATCAAATCGGCACCGGAAACAAATTGCATTGATTACTCTATGATCTATGATAAACAATAATGATGCAAAAACAGAAAAAGAAAAAAAAATCACCTTGAATTAACAACAATATCAGTACTGCCACCTACAATCATATGTTTAGCTACTGTCGCCATACAATTATTATTTATTTATTTTTATTTTTTTTGGAAAATGGAAACTAATTGAGGAAGACAAGAAGAAAAGAAAAAAGAAGGTTAGTTTAGCAAACGATAATTTCATTGGGAAAAAAACACCGTTCTTCAGTTGAATAAAAAAAAAATTGTATATATCTATTGCAAAGTAAAAAAATGAAACATCACAGAAATATTTAGTCTGGGGCTTACTCTTTTGTTAGTTGTTGGCCGTCCAGATATATCCGTAGATCTTCATTTCCATAATCCATCTGCATTTCATGAATTTCCTTTATCGAATTAAAGACACGTGGACAGTGCCTAACCTCAATCATCTGAAGGGTTGAACTTTGGGCTATACAAGAAGGGATTTCCTTTAAGCGATGGCAGAATCCCAGTATCAATGTCTCAATAGATGGGAAGTCGTCATCCGAAGCCGTTGTCCATCTCTCCAAACTGGTCATGCTGTCTAATTCCAACACTCTGAGTTTGGGGAATGTGCCTTCTTCTTCAATGTCCCAATTTTCCCCCTTGTATTTATTATCATTCAATAGGAGAGCTTCAAGATTTGGTAGCCTTCCAATTGTATTTCTCAAAAAATTTCAAATCGGGTCAAATAGCTTCTTATTTTCAAAGTGATTAGTGTATCTACATCTATATTAATCCAATATAATCTTATACATTAAAGAGCTTATTTTTTGGACACTTGGTGCGTAATGGCTTAGTTAATAAAAAATATAAGAAAAATCAAGCTCAATTCAATACAATAAATTTTATTTGGTAACTCATTAATTTTACTTATTTACTTGCATATTTTTTAACCAGTGAAAACAAATAATTAATCTAATAATAAATTCAGCAACTACCGTGATCTTCACCTTGCTCGAAAAAATCATTTTCACTACAATATATACCGCATATGTGGTCAAGGGATAAAAAAATTGGGCATATCATCATTAATGGTTAATGAAGCAAATAATAAATCTGTTATTGAATAAAAAAAATTGGAGATATCATCATCAAGGGCTGCGATGATGATTTTGAACCCATGGATATTGGATTGCCATGATCTTCATGAAACAAGAGCAAAAACTGATCACCTTAGTTATGGAGTAATATATTACTAGTTACACGACCCGTGCCAAGCACGGGTGGACTTTGCAAGCATAATTTATATTACGTTGCTATAAAAAAGGAAAAAAAATAGTACAAAATTTATCGGGAGTTCATTATAAATATTATTTAGCAATGTTGGTAAGACAAATGAAAAACTAAACTAATCAAAGGTGGCGAAGTGTTTCTTTAAAGACAACAGTAGTTGTGCGCTTATTTCTGCTACCCTCTTCATCAACTATAAATACTCTTTAACCCTCTTTTGGATGTGACTCTTGAAAAAACAACATAGAGCTGGCCATGACTGAAAACTGGTCGAGGCAAAAAAAGGCCTACATGCGAAAGAGATTGTCTCTGGCTTTTATTGATCGTTATGACAAAGAAAACACCCAATGGAAATTGTTTATTTCTCATCTTAAATTGGACTCTCTTGTCTGACGGCGTAATTGGCAGTCGTGGATTAAAAATCATATCTCCAACATGTGACCCGGGGTGTAAACTCATAGATTTCGAATGCAAGGAAAACTTACAAGAAATGATTTGTCATTCATCAAAACTATCCCCTAACCTTAAATGCTTAATCCTCAAATGGAAAATTTTAAGAATGAATGGTTATGATCAATTCCTTGTCTTTTTTCCTTGAACTAATCATGATCCTTTATAATTTTAATCAAAATTTAAAAATAAAAGTTCAATAGCCAGTTTTACTTCAAGTTCTCAAGTTTGAATATGATCATTTTCTTCCCCGTGTTAGGGTTCTCAATAATATCACCGACAGCTTTCACAGTACCAATGATATCTGCTTTCCGAAATATGTTCGAGTAAAAAATATTAATAGCAAATCGAGTATAACTTTCTAATATAATAGAGTTTGAAGGTTTGGTTCACCTATTATGTAGTCGTGGTCATTTTTGCGATCATTGATATCAGCAAAGGATACAAAATCGAACAATATCATTGGGATATCGGGTTCATCAACCAGCTTTAAGCTCGTGTTCCGGTAAAAGATAATTTTACACTGGTGTTTGGCATGCCTATATCTGCCATAATTACCAGGAACATCGTAGTTTGATACGGTCATAGTCTCTCCTTCATTATCCAGAAGTTGCTCAGTGAACATGTCGAGCAATGATTGTTTCACCATACGCCATATTTTAGAACCCTATAAAAGTTAAAAAAAAAATTAAAAAGAAAACATCATCATTAATTAACCAAATGCGTGAAATATATAAATAAAATTTAGCATAAAACATATGATGTGGTTTATTTATGTCAGAGTTAGTATTCTATATACCTTAGAATCAACAAACACTATTATATAGATAGATATATAGATTTTATAATGGAGTATATCATCATCAATGGCCGCATATTTTCTTTTTTTCTTTTTTCTTTTTTCTTTTTCTATGATGAAGTAAGTATATAGATTATTATACTGAAGTCCCTTCCAATTTGAGCTCACCTTAATTCATATTGGAGGGAAACCGGTTTTGGACATGCATTGCAATTCTTATTTTAGGATAGGGAGTATATTATCTTGCAATAGAGATTTTTTACATTACGTTTGATTTTGTGGTCCCCATAAATCTAAGAGTCCAGTGTGTACTTCTGTTAATAACCGCACTTATAAGATACCTGAAAATTGAGTTCAGCAAAGTGGGATAAGTTTTGGCTTTGATCGGGTAAATTTCCCATGGAATATTATGGATGGTTATATATTTTTGAAAGTTTACCAATTGGTTGTAGGAAAGAAATTTGCGGAATTGCTCGAGTACTAAAGAATTGAGAAATGTTTTCTGTTTTCAGATCGCTTGAAATTGTTTCAACTCGGAGAATTCAGATGTGGCTAACAAGTAGGAAATGCATAAAATGTTCAATGATTATTACATTGAAGTTTCCGATATATAGGAGTTTATGGGGTTGTACTTTGTTCACTATGGAACTGGAAAAATGCATCAGCCAGCATCTTCCCGACCTGAACCTCGGACTCAGCCGTGAGATGGAGATCGTCCGATTTCAGTTGCAAGCCCTTGGCGTCTATACATCGTACATTAGGAAGCTTGAATCCCAGTTGAGCTTGCCTTATAGTGTCGATTAATGTCCCTTCCGCCGATGTCACCGCCACCTAAATCACCAATAATGCCCATTCATTAGTATGAATAAATTAGTCCAGCGAATCCAACGGCGTGACAAGGCAAAAAGTTTTGACAATTAATTACCTGAATGATGGGAAGCGATGGCAAACGCAAGTCAGCGCGCACATTGGTAAAAAATGTTTCAAGATTTCTTCCGTAAGACAAGGCATCCTCTTGAATCTTAGTGTCACTTTCACCTTGAAACCATAACATAGCCCTGATGATTCCCCCGCTTTTTACTGCGGCGCTTGCTCGATTAACTAGCTGGTTGTATAAGAATTTACCACGCCTCCATTCGGTTATGTTTGTCCCCCAACAGCGCAAGGTACTAAACCGATGGTTCGAAACCGGGTCTTTGTTTAGCACACCATTCGCAAATGGCATGCCTGGCCCAACTCCAGCGGTTTTATTCACGTCAATATCTTTGTGTAATGGATCTCTTGCTTCCTCCCAGGTGAGGTTAGCCGAAAGCCGGAGAATAGACGGGTTTGGCCGGCACTCTGGCAGAACAATCCCGTCCCAGACGTCCCCATGGACGCCTCCTCGGCCAGCCATGTTGCTTTGTCCAGCTAAGATGAATATGTTTGTTGGTGAGTTCGTTGGATGAGCATGCAATTGGCTTATCATTGCCAAGAGCAACAAGAGAGATCCAATCATTACTGCCATAATTTTAATACCACTGGTTTGAAACCAACCAAAACAAAGTGAATGCAAAGTAATTGTATGGGAAACTTATGAATGATTCTCTTGTTTTCTGTTTGGTTTTTTTTTTTTTGTTGAGATATGTGGATGATTTTATATTGAAGCCCTCACCATTTCATTTACGTATTAACACATTCCTGACAGTACTTATTCACATATTGCCAGATTTGTGATGTTAGTTGTTAAAACGCATTTGCTAGATTGGTCGGATGTAATTTCTTTTCATCGGACTCACACTATATACAGGTAAGTTATTTTTCTTTTGTTGATTATATATGTGAGGCGAGAGTTTAGTTGGCAGGTGCATGCATGACAACATTTTTTAGCATAAAATTTTATATATATTTTTTATAAATGAAACTTAACTTCCCAGCCAGTGGTTTTTTTTTTTTTTTTTCGCGTGTAGCCAACGCGACATCAAAAATTGTCACGTATTCATTTAAATAATTTTAAAATTTTACCGAAAAGACTAACAGTGGATCATGAAAATACTTTTGGTAACTTGTACAATGAGTATAATTAAAAATAATGAATCGTTAATAAAGATGAGAAAGGCTTGGTTTCGGTGGACCAAATTAGTCCTAGAAGAAAACGTTAGACCTTTTAAATAAGGGATGACCTTGTTTGAGACAAGGTTTTAGCAAACAAAGCCAATCGCCAAGACCTTTCAAGAGCTTTTAAGTTGAATAGGTGAAATTTCTCGTACTTTTCGAGGCTTTTCCAAGGTTTTTGTAATGGAGCACGAATCAAAGTATCATGTTTTATATTTTTCCCACCGAAATAGAGTTAAGAATATCTTATATGCATAGTTTTTGTTATATATTTGGTGGATCAAATCAATACTGGAAGGAAGTCTTAGGCCTTTTAAACAATGGATAACCTTGTTTGAGACTAGGTTTTAGCAGAGAAATCAATTCACCAAGACCTTTCAAGAGTTTTTGAATAGAAGAGATGAAACACGTCAACCCTATGCAACACGATTCAACAACGAAAGTTTGCAGGTGAAACCACAAATGAAGAGCTTATCATAGATACTTTTATGAATCACTATGCTGGAGCTCTTTACGCCAAATTGGCCACTCACCACCTTCCAGCAACAATTCAAAACTTGAAGACAAAAATTGCGAAAAGTTGGGCCAAAGGTAAAAAAAAAAAAAAAAAGACAAGATGAGAAGGACAAAAACAACCAAAAGAGCATAAATCAAATGGAACAGTTAAGTCTGGAAGAGTTTTCAAAAGCAAAAGTGAAAAAAAATATAAATGCTCGATGGACTCCTTTGAATGAGTCTCGAATTGAGGTTTTGGCTTACACACAAGTTTTTAGGCCACCCTTGCCTATGATCAGCCCTGCACACAGTTGACCCAAACACTTATGGTGCTCATATCATAATAATTGTAGTCATGAAACTAAAAATCAAAATTTTCTTACAACAAAGAAAGTTAAAGAAATACATTCAAATTGGTGGACCTATAAATGACCGAGGCTTTTTATAACGGGACTAGGACCTCTAATTGGCAAATTTCACCAAATTGGAGTGACCAGAAGTGTTTTGATAACAAGCCTCAAAATATTAGAATCATACTACAAGAAAATCGAGTAGTGGCAATGGTCATTTATGCGTTATTTAATAGAGTTTCAGAACCTCGATCAAAGGCAGCTATGAAAGCTAAAGCTCGGCGTACACCATCATAGATGTCAAAATGAAGTATCAAAGGTCAAATAAAAAAGTAGAGACGCCAAAATAAAGTGTAATAAAAAAATAGAGACGCCAAAATAAAGTGTCTACGGTGAAACCAAAACCGAAGAGACAAAGGTGCCAAAATGAGGTGTCAAAGGTGAAACTAGACCACGAGACAGAGGTGCCAAAATAAAATGTCAAACGTGAAACCAAAATCTAGAGACAAAGGTGCCAAAATGAAGTGTCAAAGGTGAAATCAAAACCTAGAGACACAGGTGCCAAAATGAAGTGTCAAAGATGAAATCAAAACCTAGAGACATAGGTGCCAAAATGAGGTGTCAAAGGTGAAACTAAGACCAGGAGATATAGGTGCCAAAATAAAATGTCAAAGGTGAAACCAAAACTGTGAGATGGAGGTGCCAAAATGAGGTGTCAAAGGTGAAACAAAAGTTAAGAGATGGAGGTGCACCAAAATGAAGTGTCAAAGGTGAAAGTAAAGCAACAGTCAGAGGTGATATCAAAGTCGAGAATCTAAAGTGAAATTTTCCTTTAACATCAAACACCTGAGGAGAAGTTTAAACTATTAAACAACAATCTAAGATGAAAGCATAGGTGAACTCGTAATGGAGCTTTGAGGCAAACCCAAAGTCTGAAGCAAAATAAATATACTTTTGAGGTGAAACATCATAAAAAACAAGAGTCTGAGATGAAATTCGACTGAAGCAAAATCAAACCAAGGCTATGAGAGAAAGCTGAAATAAGTGTTGAGGTTAAATAAAAATATTTTTTTACGAGAAATCCAAAATCTCCGGACTACAAATCAAAATTTTCCTGAAACACTTGTATCAATTGTTTCATCACATGTATTGGAACATATAAAAGATGTGCTTCCTCTAGTAAAACTGAACTATTTGAATCAAAAGCAATTGCATGCAGATTTGAAGTGCCTATTATAAGATCTGGAGAAAGCTCACAAAGCAAGAGTTCTTAGAATACAAAACTGTATCATCAACATATACTTGACATTGATATTTTAACACTTTCGAAGGCTATATCATAATCATCAACAAAGCTAAATTAATGTTTATAACTCTAGAAAGAATGAATTAATAGTCATACCATAGATTACTTTATATTTTGAGGTCAAGGTATAGATTAGTACTGATCCTATGTGGTTGGATCAAGAAAGCTTGTGGGATATCTAATTTGAAAAGGAAAAATAAAATCTAGTTCGGAAAAATTCCAAATTATCACTGATATTGCTCCACCAAAAAGCATAAAGGAGGTGCAAAATTTGGTATGCTCATTGAAGACGTTAAGACGTTTTAGCAAAAGTTGCGGGCAAAAAGCTACCTTAATTTCTTTGATGCCTTAAAGGTGCAGGAACTCTCGATGGACTGAAGCATGTCAACAAGTTTTTGAAAAGCTTATTTGGGGTAATGACCAGACTTGACCAAATCTATTTGGAGCAAACCTTATATCTCTACTTAGCGACCAAAAAAAAATAATAATAATAAAAATGCTACAAGTGTGGTACTATTGGAGAAAGGGAAAGGATGCAATATCGCTCATATTTCATAACGCATTACAAGGGGATGAGTAGTGTTACTTTCTTAATAAAATGCACGAAAGCTCCCACTATTTTTCTAAAGCTTATGCAGTCCAGAGCCGCAAATGAAGAATGTCTGGAGTGGCTCTACTATTAAAGATCCCCAATGATCCAAGTACTTAGCGAACATATACTGTTCATTTATTTTTTCTATCTACAAGCAAGGAAGCCAAGTACCAAGAACTAATGGCAAACTTGGTGATAACCATAGAGGCGATAATCATAGAGCTAAAAGTTAAGAGGTCGGGGGTTTATAACAATTCTCAAGTCATTCAAAAGTAAGTAAAGGGAAATTATTATAAAAGGACTTTCTTCTTGTTTTTATGATGATTAAAGTCATGAATTAAATTTACTAAATAATTAGCCATAATACCATCAAGAAATTGTGAAGTAATACAAACATAGAATTTTGGTTTCCGTCGACTTTTATGTCGATTAACCTAAGAAGACGAATGAGCCGACGCTAACAATTTTAAAACACGCCAATTTTCTTATTTTTTTAATTTTTTTTTTAATTTTTGGTTTTTCATTTTCTAATTTTACAATGGTACCAACATATCAAGGATTATTTTAGAGATACAAGCTACTCAATAGAAATTAGAAAATTCAATGATCAATTTCTTCCTGATGTACTTTTGTATTGCGCCTAATTTGGAGTTCGATTATACGAACTGATGACAAGAACTATCCTTGTGTGAACCATTATACCATCCAAATTTTTGAAATGATGCTAAAGAATGTATTTTGATGTTTTCGGATTGCTTTTTTGAACCATCATGACTTTGGACTGCGTCTAGTTTTATTTATTTATTTTTATTAATTCAATACACGAAAACCATTGTGTAAGTAAATAATGGATTGCACCGTATCAAGTTCACTACACTATGAGAATCAAATTGGTCATGGAATGTTGGAATTGTAACTCATTATACTAAGTGTTAACTTTAATACATCGATATTTTTTTTTTACAATTTAGTATGTAAACAATACATAAAAGGTAACACCCCAAATGAATTTTGTTCATTAATGAATTAAAATAACATAAACTAAAAACTGTGAAAATGAGTCAAACCATAGATTTTGAATTTCATCAACTTCAATAACAGAAAAAGAGAAAATAAAATTTCTGATTGCATGGACCTTCTTTTGAGTTTAATAACTCGACGCAATAGTCGACGAAATTGGTACCTCCTTAGAGATTTCCTTTCTTGAGTTTTATTAATTTTCTCATGAAATTTCGTTTCTTGAGGTTTTTTTTTTCCCTCTTTAACTAATTCGGCACAAAGGTCTTTCCTCTCATGTGAATGCAAACTTATATACATGTTGTCACATTTAAATATCCTCTTTCGCTCTTATATTATTATGAAGAATATAGTGTGTGAAACAACACAAAATAAAGCTCTTTCTGCCTCATATGACTCTGAATATAAGACGAGAGAGTATAGAAAGAATAGAAAATAAGATTTTCTACGAAAATTATATTGCAGTTTCCATTTCCTTTACAAATTATATGGTTGTATTTTTTTAAACTATGGAACTGTAAAAAGGCATCGGCCAGCATCTCCCCGAGCCGGACCTGGGACTTAGCGGTGAGGTGCACAGAATCTGATTGCTGTTGGAGGCCCTTGGCATCTACACATTGCATGTTTTGAAGCTTCATTTCCAACTGAGTTTG